GGTTGTGCTGATTGCTGGGAAAGGGATCCTATCCTCTTCCTTGATTCCTTCTTCAAACATCAATCAATCATTCACTCATCCACTCATTCTCACTCTCTCATTATTCACAATGAAAGGCCATTCATCATGTAAAGAATGTGGTGGGACAGTAGATGACATCTGAACTTTTCACACTACACAGCTGTTGTTATCCTACAGCTCTTTCTAACAGGGAACGTTATCAGGACTTTGGAAAGGATCTCGCAAAAATGATGAATAAACATTCTTCCAGTATGTTTGTTAAAAGTTATCTGGTCTTTTATAACTTTCTCCAAACGTTAACATAGAAAAACGCTACTCATAATGTTCATGGAATATATTTCTAAAACATTTTAGTTGGAAATTTGTCTTTTTCATAAACTTTTTCATAAATTACTAGCAAGTCATTCTTTACCTGGTCAACATTGATCAAAAAACACTTCTTTTGTCCAGTTGTTTGTCTCTTTATCAACATAAAAATCAAATGATAAGATCTGACCTCAGACCAGGCAACATTCATATCATCTTATGAAAGGTAACGTTTACTCAAGAACACTGTAGCTCTGAGGAATGCAATTCTCATTTAAAGAAGACTTTAAAGCAAACTGATGTTCCTGCATGTCTCATAGACCTAAAACACACTCTGACCATTGAAAGACACTTAGGCCTACTCTTAGGCTTAGGTCTTTAGAAGTACCTTGCAGATGGCAATGCTTTTCAGGATTAGTTTGAACTTTTAGAAGTTAAAGGGATTGTTCATCCAAGGTAATTGTTGCTAAAGCATTCATGTGAGATTAGAAGTAAAATAGGACATGCATTATAGACTGCTTTTATGGTAATGTTTTGGACAGTTGGATTTGTTATCACTTGTATTTTATGACAGCCTGGGAATTCTGGAAAATGTGTGACGGCTGGTCAATATGGGGCGCCGCCCTAACCGAGCCACAGACTGTAAACAAAACAAAATATTTTAATTTATAAATTATAGGCTATACATTGATATTTGTGTCATCTTATATTATTAATTCATGAAATTAATATGTGAAAAAATTATTTTCCATCTGCCTGTCTGCATTCCTCATGTTTAGCCAGTCTTTGATAGAGAAATCGGTGTGTAGTAGTTTATAGTTAATGTAGTAGTTTAGCCAATGCTATGAACATGTTCACGATATGATATAAAAATTTAACCAATCAGCGTCCTTAACTCTAACGAGCCACTGCTCGCCTCTCCAGGTCGGACTCGTCTGTAGGGTTTTTTTTGGGGGGGGGGGATAAAGCAAATCAGTGTTACTTGTAAAATTTCGACGGATGGCGATAGAAATCAAGGTAAAGAATGATTAAAAGTGACATACAGTTGTCGTACGCTGGGCACACGTGACGTATAGGGCTTGGGCGCCACGTTGCATTCTGGGACGTGGCGGCCATGTTGGCAGCTTCGCAAATGTAAACATACTAGAAAGTCGAACGAGGAGAAGCAGCTGAGTTGGGAGAAATTAAATAAAAAAATGTTAAAATCCCTAAAAGGATGCGGAATTTACCGGGATACGTTTAATAGAGAAACCAGGGACCGGTATGTGGATAAAACGGCACTTTTAACGGGTTGGATTCATTTGAAATTTCCAACAAACAGTGGGAACTTAATCCGGACAAAGGTAAACTGCACTCCACCTAGCTGCTAGTTTTGTAAAAGTTATAATGCTAACAACCATTCACACATGTAACATACTTTAACTATGTGTTTCAAAAGTGTAGCGTTAACGTTAAAGTAACGTTAGCTGTTTTAAGCCGTTAGTAAGCAAAGCGATGCACTCCGTGTTCAATCGATTTTAAAAGATAATCTTTTGTTTTATTTTTTATATATCACAAACGTCTGAATTTATAATACTGTATGTAATGCTTTGGAAAGTATACTACATGTTTAATAAATCTTCCAGCTGCCTTAAATAAGAATTTACATATACTGTAGAGGTAAGGTATGATATGCAGCATTGCACTCTATACAAAAAAAAGTTAATAATTAAAAAGTGTATTTTTATTTTACATGGGAATAAAGTTTGCAGAAAAAGTGTGAGGATCATTCTCAAATCCTACTTTTTTAACATGCGCAGAACACCATACTGGATGAAGTAGTTAGAACCAGTGCTATGTATGTCTAGGCCTGTTTACAAAACAGACTAGTAGGCTACACAGACTGGTACGATGTAGGTCCGAGTAAATAATTGCTTTAGTCCAACTGATATTGAGCTATTAAAGTGCATGTAAATGCACATACATATTTTACTCCGCACGAACTATAAACCATGACACAAACTGAATTGGAATTTGAGAAGTGCTTTAGATGGATTGTGGAGTGCAGCGGTAACGTTACATAGGCAAGCATCGACACGTGTGTGCGGTACACGCCCTTACCTTAAAGCAGGTCAAATTTGGCACTCTGTGTAAAGATTCTACTAATTCTTACATTACACCCCAGTCTCGTTTTCTTCTGGCACAAGTCATAAAATGCCCAGGGCAGTTGATTCTTTTACAATAACCTCTTACCTTTCAGGTCTAGAAGTGGGGCTGACTATCAGTTATTTAGACCAATTCCCAAAAACACAGAACCAATGTTGCCCCAACCTCTAGAGGGCAATATAAGTACTATATGAAAGTCAGTGTATGTTTATTTTTTTCTTGTCCATAGTTTTGAATTCTGTAAAGGAACAGCCTTCATATATTGATACATAAGCAAAAATATTGTTGAAAAATGTTTATGGCATCATGCAACAATGTAAATTATCCAGTGAGCTTCCAGTATCAATGCTAAAATGTTTTCTTAAAGGGATAGTTACCCAAAAATAAAAAGCTGTCAACTCAAGTTGTCCTAAACCTGCATGAAGTTCTTTTTTCTGTCGGACATAAAAAAGATATTATGAAGAATGTTGGTAAACAAACAGTTTCTGGTCCCCATTGACTTCAATAGTATAGGGATTTAAAAAAAAAAATTACTATAGAAATACTATAAATATAATGGGGGACCAGAAACTGTCCGGTTACCCACATTCTTCAAAATATATTCTTTTGTGTTCAGCACAAGAAAGAAATTCATACAGATTTAGAACAACTTGAGGGTAAATAAATAATTACAGAATTAGAATTTTTGGGCAAACTATCCCTTTAAGAGGAAGTTGTTGAATTTGAGCTGTTCTCAGCATATGGAAATTAAAAAAAAAAAAATCTTGTGGTACAAGTAAAACTCAGTTTTAAAGCTATATATATTGCATCAGTCACTTTGTTTTTTTTATTTTACTAGTTCTTCCTGTAACTCAGGAAACTGAAGTCTTTCAACAGAACGTTTCTCCATAAGTGCAAAATAGGCAAATATTTAATTTTGCATGTGAAATTTTAATAAATTGCCTTTAATCTGAGTTTTTGTGCAGATAAAAACTTGTTCAGACTGCTAAGAGCACACACATACAAACACACACACACACACACACACATATATATATATATATATATATATATGAAGAGTTCAGATGCAAAAGCCTCTAAGTGCCATTTGAAATTTTCTTCTAGAATGATAATTTTTATCAAGCTTGTATATTTAAGTTCAGTGATTTCACTTAAATGCCAATGATAATTACCTATTAATTGTTATTTAAGTGAAATTACTGAACTTAAATATACAAGTTTGATAAAAATCATCATTAAAGAAGAAAATTTCAAATGGCATTTAGAGGCTTTTGCATCTGAACTCTTCATATATACTGTGTATAAATATATATATATACACACACACACACACACACACACACACACACACACACACACACAGTAGTCAACATTTGAAGTGGATCAAAACCTTTTTAATCAAAGTTATACATGAATTTTGAACAATACCCGTACTTGTCTTAGGACAACTTTGATGAATGCACTTTAAATGTTCACTACTGTATATAAATGAGTACTTACTGCCTCTACATTTTTTGGTATTTCAGTCGAGGTTTGCTATTCATTTCCTTAATGTTTCCTGTTTATTGATTTCAAACACATCTTGCTAGCTTTCATGCTGTGAACTGACGTCTAACAGGTGTTTCTACGAAATGAAAGTAAGCCTTATGGGACATCAAAGCTTGTAGGACAGAAACACAATATGTTCAAGGTGACTTACCTTGCAAACTCGCTCCTGTTCCTCCGATTTGTTGCTTGAGAAGGTCGAAAATCCTCGATTTGATTTGATTAAATATTTACCACATCACCTCAATGCGTTAGCAAACAGGTCCACAGAAAAATACGTTTCATGCTGTTCTACCTGCTGAACCAGTTTCTTCTATTTTTTTTCTTCTATTTACTTTCTCTAAACCCACCTGGATCTCAATACCAGCCTTTGTCCTCTCTCAGTCACTATACAACTGCATTGCATGTGTGTTTGCTTTGGTGTATGAGTCTTGAATCACTTTGCCGCTTCTGCTTTCATTTAGAGGAAGTGTTCTTGCAATAGAAGAACCGAAGCGGACTTACTTACAGCAGTGAGGGGATTTCCTTGTTTCAAACACTGGCCTTTCTGCTACAGGTGTATCAATTACAAAAAGAATGTTTTACCACATAAAGTTTGAGATTATAAAAAAATATTGCCATCACTGAAAGGTGATCATTTGTGGTTTTAATTGCAATTTTAAAATCGGCTTTTCTTCATGAGCACAGAGACTTGTTTACAAAGCACAGCAAGTGCAGTTTGTATATGCAGTTGTTCTGCTGAATCATTCATTATCACATGTGGCTTACTAAGCATTTCCGTACACAGCCATTTAATGACACCTAATAATTCAATCTTAAAAATTTTAAATATGAAATATACTGAAGTAAGTTAAAATGTCAGGATGAACACCTTTATTATAATTTTTATTATAGTTTCTTATTAATAATTTGATTTATCTTTTCTTTTTATATTTTTAGTTTTCATGTTAATTTTAGTTTAATTTGTAGTAATTTCATTATGTGCTTTTGTAATTTTATTGGTTGGGTTTAATTTATTCTTGTTTCAATTTTAGTTTTTATTTATTTCCAGTTAATAATTTTAGTGCTTCAACTTAAACATTTCAATTTATTGGCAAAGCAACATTTCAAAATTAAATTTTTTTTTTACATTTTATTTCTGCTTGACTTTGAGTAAATATTTTACGTCAAAGGGGTTTGACCTATAAACAAGTTTGGGAATCCCTGCTCTAAATAAACAATATTTGAAAGAAAATGTTACAAAGACAAGTAGATAAAATGATTACGATTAAATATTCATATGGTGGTTCTAGCCTCGTCTTTAAATAGTGCATTTTCCTTCAGCTCAGGGTGAAAGTATGGAGTAACAATATGGTGTCTGAGTGCATTTCGGTGTCTTTTCAGCTCCTGGAGTTCTTGCCTGAAGGTTGGACAAACAAAACATCTATGCATCACCTGCATTGAGCTTCTGAAACCGAAACCGTTCAAACATAATAACTGTTTACCTGTTCTGGTTAACCCTTTTTTCCCACACTGACTTTTGCTTCTTTTTACTGACACTGTTAAAGCAGAAGTTGAAAGCAAACCGTACAAGTGCGATTAGTCACCACAAACTTTCCCACTTTCAGTTGCATCTTATCTATGAATTCTAATCCATTGGTTGAGCAAATTTACCCATTCAAATTTTGAGCGATAAGCATGTTTTTAATAACTCTCATTCTGGTCTACATTTACAGATATTACATGGGTAGATAAGATGAGTAAATCCTGAACAATACCACTTACAACAAAACTTTCTGTTCTGTCTTTTCCTGTAGCTTGTGGGGGTGTTGAGCTGCTCGCACTGCTTGAGTATAGAGAGACGCCACATCAGCTGGAACAGGATCAAAAACAGACAAACTGTGAAGGTGAGTTTTTTACTGCCATTTAATATTGCAGAGCACAGATCTTTAACACTCTCCAAACTCATAATTTAAACAAAATTGTGGATTATTTTTTTATTATTAATTTTATTTTATATAAAAATACATTTTAAAATATTGTAATTTAATAATCCGTGCATCAGAGGGTTAAACCATAAATTAATGATTAATAAAGTGTTGTTATTAGGGACAGTTCATGCACCCAAAAATGAAAATCCTTTCATTTTATTCACCCTCAAGTTCGTCTTCTGTTGAACATAAATAAAGTTGCTGGTCCCCATTGACTTCCATGGTATAGAGAAAAAATACTATGGAAGTCAATGGGGACCAGGAACTATTTGGATGCCAGCATTATTCAAAATATTTTCTTTTGTGTTCAACAGAAGAAAGAAACTCAAACAGGTTTAGAACAAATAGAGAGTGATCAAATGATGTTGGGTGGACTACACCTTTAACTTCTTTTTTAAACAATACATATTATTTTAGAATTAAATATTTAGAATGTATGTTCGTTCTAATAAATAAGTGTTCTCACCTGAAAGAGGCTTAATTTCCATTTCAACCGGAGGATCTACAGCATCCGACTGGGACTAAAACAAACATAAAGTTTAAATGTAAGCCAGATTAGAATACAGACATCTGAATTTCAGTAATTCATTTAAGAATATGACGTTGGATCTTGTCTGACCAGTACAAGCTGCAGTAGATCATTCTGATGAACCTTTTCCTCTGCTGTCTGAAGGTCCTTCAACTGCATCTTCTCCCATTCATTCTCTCTCTGTAGCAGCTGCTCCAAATATGCCTGTTTGATTTAACCCATAGAGCAAATATATATATATATATATATATATATATATATATATATATATACAGCATGCTATATTTTTTATATTTTTAATATATTTTTTAATATATTTCAAAATAGCCAGAACTATATTTTTAAAATATATTTGCATAAATATATTTTTTATATATTGTCAGTTTAAATTGTTCAATATATATATAAACATTTACCCTGAATGTATTTTAAAATTTAGAAATGGCACTTTCATGACCCTTAAAGTACACTTTATAAAATATTTTGGCATTTGAAGGTTTAAACAATACTGATTTTATTAAGCCACACTGTGTCAACATATATTTAGCATTAGCTTGAAATATATTCAGGTCAGAACAAACCACTGCGTAAACTTAAAAAAACAAATCAGTAACTGGTCAGTTGACAAACAAAGTAGATTGAAAGGAAGTGAAAAGAGAACACTACTGAGGTCTGGTAATATTGTGGTTTTAAACGTCACACTATATTTAACAGGAAGGTTAAAAAAGGTTAACTTTGTGACAGGAATTAGAGCACCTTGACTTTGTCTTGTAGTTTCCTGCGCAGTGTTTCAGTGACAGGTAGGTGCTGGGTAATCTGACGCACCAGCAGCAAGTCAGGGCACTCAAAAACTGGTTGAATGCGGATGGAACAAGGCTTCAAGGGTTTCTCCTTTAACTCGAGACTACAACCAAGAGTGGTCCCAAAAGAGGGGCCTGGAGTCTTCTTCTAAACACCCGAGATGGAATAATAGATGATTTACTTTAAACTGCGTACTCAAACACATAGGCATTTCCCAATATGTTTGGGGACTAAAAAAAGGATATTTAATGTGGATTTCTTTTGACAATATATAACATTCTGGTTGTTTGTGCCAAAGGTAACACTAAAAGAAAGTTTAGATGGAACTATAGATTACGACTTACTTCAGATGCAGGGAATGACTCCCATTTCCTGGATTTGAGGTTGGTGGGAATGATGTCATTATCTAGGTTGGATGAGAGCCAATGAGTGCTGATCTCTGGGCAGGGCCTTAGCAGAGTGATGACAAATGATTCTGGAGAGAAACCAATGCAGGAGAACAATAATTTAGATATTTTACTTGCTGTGTTTATGCAAACTTGCCTTAAACACATTTATAATATGCACAGGATGAATGAAAATTGTCCTCACGTTGTGAGTCTGGTAGTGGGTCAGTGAGAACGGCGATAGAAGAGTCACAGTAAGCCTTCTGTAGGAGATCTTCCATATCTTGTGCTCTCAGCAGCTCTGAGGCTGAACCGTCCTCGTGTACCACAAACAACCTCAAAATGACAACCGAAGAAAAAGGAACTAGTCATTTTTTCATTCTTCACTTGAAATGCAAATAACATGCAATGTAATTTAAGTAAATACACTACTGTTCAAAAGTTTGAGGACTTTGAGTAAGACTTATAATAACTGTCTTATGGTCAACAGGGCTGCATTTATTGAATTAAAATATAGTAAAAACAGTAATATGTGAAATATTACCTTTAAAAATAATGTTTTGAATGTAATTTATTCCTGTGATGGCAAAGTTGAATTTTCAGTATCCTTACTCCAGTCTTCAGTGTCACATGATCCTTCTAGTCATTCTAATTGGCTGACTTGATTTCATATTATTACTTTTCTTATTAACTTTGAAAAGAGTTACTTAATATTTTTGTGGAATGTGTGAATACTATTTAATATTCTTTGATGGACAGAACAAGGTTAAAAAAATAGAAATGTATTTAACTTTGGACCAATTTAAAGCATCCTTGCTGAATAAAATTGACTTTTTTTTTTCAAAAAAGTCTGTTTTAAATATATTTTTCTTGTGGCCTAAAACATTTGTAGGGTACTGTTTATGGACAAGAAAAGCCAATGATTGCACAACAAATCTGTGAGTGACAACATAAGCATAACATAATATATAACTACATTAAAAATCTATATATAATACACCTTGTAATATTCGATTCTGACTGGTCGATCACCAGCCAAATTTTTTTTTAAATGACCTCAAAGTCAAACTGTAGTCCCTGATTTCCTACACAGGTCTTCTAGTTTCATGTCTTTAGCCATTAATATTCTCTTAAGAAAATCTGATTTTCTTTAATGGGATAGTTCACCAAAAAATGGAAATCCTGTGATCATTTACACACTCTAAACCTGCTTCAAAAATTATGTTGGTAACCAAACAGTTGCTGGTTCCCATTGTTTTCCATAGTATAGAGAAAAAAAAATACAGTGGAATCAGTAGAGAACATAAAATGTTTGGTTACCAACATCATTTTTGGGTGGACTATCCCTTTAATTTTAAGTGACCTTGGGTGTGTTTTCTGAGGGACTTACCTGGGTGGGTGTGTTTTAAAGCCATCATTCTGTTGGAGCTCTGTTTCTGTCTCTCTCATTTCTGATCCGTTAGTCATGACAGTGATCTGACTGTCTGAATTAACCTGCACACAACATTAACATGTTCTGGGTTTTTATTCAGAATGGCTAGGATAGAAGAGTCTGTTAAAAATTGTATTTTTGAAAATGAAGCTGAAAAAAACAAAAAAAAAAAAAAAAAAAAAAACATAAATAGCAGATGAAAAACTTTAACTTAAAAAACCTTGATGAAAGTTAATACTAGAAAAGCACATAACAAAATATAAAAATAAAAACCAAATCAAAATATTTAACACTGTCACGTTTACATCCTCTCAAATGTTTAAAAAAAATCCTTTTAGCTGTAACAATTGCAATATGTCCACACAAAAGAAATATTCTTGACTTTGTTAGGAACATTTAATTGACAGGGTTCTCACACACACACACAAAATTTTATAAAGATTGCACTTGCAAAAATAGTTGATGAAATAACCAAGTGAAATATTTTAGCGCTGTCCATAACTTATATATATATATATATATATATATATATTGTATTTACTGTCCTGTGACCATGTGGAACATAATATAATTAATATATGATATCAAATCAAAAATGTGAGACATTTTCCCCTGGTTTTCAGACTAAAATGCATGTTTGAGCTGTTTTAACTGTAAGCAACTTGCACTGGCATATCTTAAGATATGGAACTATTTTATTTAGGGCATGTTTATAAAAGCTACTTAAATGCCCTAACTGAACTAAGGCCTAATCCTGGCTTAATCTAAGCCTTGCCTATGAAACCTGGCCTTTATGTTTACTATAGACATTATCATGGAAAGTACTTGAAAGTAGTTCCCCTCGGGGTCCGTCACGTGACAGAGGACATCTGCTCCATGGTTCATTACAAATTGGCCTGGTGGGTCTTTATCCGGTCCCTCTTTAGACTGATGAGATGTGTACACCGCTCCACCATCCTCATCAATATGGAGGACACCACCATCACGAGGAGAAATCTACATTAAAGTGACAGAGAGAGGATTTACAAATGATGTTCACTTATGTCGCAGATATTCTTCCATCCATCTTCTTACTTTATATGACCCATGAGCAGTTGCGCTGATTGAAGTGCCATCCCCGAAAAAAACATCACATGTTCTTTTCCCACTGTTCATTGTTACCGTTGCAAAATCAGGGTTCTCCACCCTAACCAGGTTTTCTCCTGAAATCAGATTTGAAACTCTTACTTACTGACAAGATTGTATTCTTACTTACTGATACAATCTTGAGATTTACAAGATTGTATTTGTGATAGTGCAGCATGAAGACTCTTGCACCTGGGAGCAGTTGTTGTTGTAACTCCCCCTGCTGGTAGAAAGTGGTAATACGTGTTCCATCTGCATGATCCACTATCACGGTTCCATCTTTCTTCAACACAGACAACATTTTGTCCTCTCTTGTGACCACAACCTATACATGTGACATTTGTATTACAACAATCGTCTATTGACACAGAATATATTAGTTTTAATTGACGAGGCACTCACTGTCCCACTAAAGGGATCTGTAACATGATAGGCCAGTATCGGCTGAACTTGGACTTCCTTTCCTGCCACAGTGGCAACTCTTAGGCCAGAGGGGGTGGTGGTGGTCCAGGAGCCTCCCGTAATCTCAACAGAGTTTTTTGGTTTTTCATTTTCTATAGAGATGTGTTGCTCATCCTCTATATTTTTTACCTTAGAAGCCTTGCCTGTGAACCACAAAGGACATTGGATATGGTTTAAGAGGACATTTATTTCATGTACACTACTGTTCAAAAGTTAGGAATATTCTTTTTTTTTTAAAGCTATTGATACTTTTATTTAGCAAGGATGCATTAAATTGATCAAAAGTGACGGTAAAGACATTTATAAATAAACATAAACAAATAAATGCTGTTCTTTTTCAGCTTTCTGCTCGCATGAGCGGCAAATCAGCATTTTAGAATGATTTCAGAAGGATCATGTGACACTGAAGACTGGAGTAATGACGCTGAATATTCAGCTTTGCCAACACAGAAATAAGTTGCATTTTAAAGTATATAAAAAATATAAAACTGTTATTTCAAATTGTAATAATATTTAACAAATATTACTGTTTTTAATATTTTGATCAAATAAATGCAGCTTTGGTTAAAAAAAAAAACTTTTGAATGGTAGTGCATACATAGTGTGAATAAATAAATCAGTATCCATAGAGGATTTCAATATTCGAAGAGATGTGTACATGCTACCTTTCTTGTCTTTAGTCTCTTTGATATCCACTGTCAGCTCTTTGATAGGCTCCGCCTCCTTTATGGACATGTGTTGAACCATCACACACACCGGTCCAGAGTCTGGACTCGTACTGACTGTTCCGTCTGCAAACAGGACCTGAAACACACACACACACATACGGGATATTTCCTCTGAGGTTATGATTTCATTAGGAGTGTGCTTTTTGTCCTATATTATCTGTATTATGTAGGAAAAAAGGTGCATTTTTGACATGCAATCGTGAATACCTCAGTAGATCCATCTCTCTTGTGTTTGATGACAGTCCCTGTGTCGGTGATGACCCTGGAGACCTCAGTGTGTGTGCTGAAGTCTGGGGTCAGGTCTGAACTAGATCCAGCATTATAAAATCTCTGTCGTATCAGAAGAGATCGGACACAAGATTCCCCATCTAAAAAACACAGATATGACCTTACGGCTGCTCTCTGTGCTTGAAACAGCGTAGGCCTGTTCTTCGATCTTAAACGCTGGTTCTACATTTATAGACATTTTACAAAATATATTTTCATGAATGTTTTTTTAATGCAGACTAGAAATAAAATGTTTTGTATGGGTCATTCCTGTTGTGCAGTTCCTTTTATTAAAGGGTTAGTTCATCCAAAAATGATGTCATTAATGACTCACCCTCATGTCGTTCCAAGCCCGTAAGACCTCCGTTCATCTTCGTAACACAGTTTAAGATATTTTAGATTTAGTCCATTGAAAATGTATGTACGATATACTGTCCTTGTCCAGAAAGGAAATAAAGACATCATCAAAGTAGTCCATGTGACACCAGTGGGTTAGTTACAATGTTTTGAAGCATCGAAAATACATTTTGGTCCAAAAATAACAAAAACTACTTTATTCAGCATTGTATTGTCTTCCAGTTCTGGTATCAATCGACGTTAGGGACCCTGCTGACGTGTATCTGGTGCGTCCATGTATTCAGGTTCAAATAAATATGGCTTGGCAAAAAAATGCAAGTCTTCCTCTTTTTCAAAATTCCTCTGTGTCCCTCAGACTGGGAACGAAGCTCTTTCGCACCGGATAACACGTCAGCAGGATCACTGAACACGGATTGACAACAGAACCGCTTCGAGAATACAATGCTGAATAAATTATTTTTGGACCAAAATGTATTTTCGTTGCTTCAAAGCATTATAACTAACCCACTGGTGTCACATGGACTACTTTAATTGTGTCTCTATTAGAGCCAGACCGATATATCGGCAGACCGATATTATCGGCCGATATTAGGCATTTTCCAAACTATCGGTATCTGCAGTTATAATGGCCGATAAATGAATATTTCAAAAATAAAATAAAAACGGACTAAACACGCTCTACACCATTCCTGTTGGCAACACTCGTTGAGTTGGTCACGATACATACATTGCTTGAATAACAATTAAAAGATCACCCCCATCAGTTCTCTTAACTCAAATAAGCATGACAAAATTTGTGACTAATCACCTCCAGTTTAAAAAAATAAATAAATAAAATATCGGCCGATATATCGGAATATCAGATTTTAAAACCCCAAAATATTTGTATCGGTATCGGCCTTCAAAATCCTTTATCGGTCGGGCTCTAGTCTCTATATCCTTTCTATGACAAGGACAGTATACCGTACATATATTTTCAATGGAGGGACAAAAATCTCTCGGACTAAATCTAAAATATCTTAAACTGTGTTCTGAAGTCATTAATGACATAATTTTCATTTTTGGGAACTAACCCTTTAAGTTATAATCTTAGAAAATATCTCACTTGCTGAGTCCTCAAAATCAAAATGTAGGATTAGTCCATTGGGAAGAGATACATGTAGATTCAGGAATGGTGGAGGAGAGGAATCGTCCGTCGGCTCACAATGTACTTCAGGTACCTAGAAAACATTAGTAATGGCTATTTAGTTATGGTAATCAGCCTAAAATAAAGTGCATGCTAAACTAACTTACGCCTAACTAATGTAAATCCTTACTAACCCACATTTTTCCATTATTATTGTTTAATCACCTGTTCCTGTTGGTCTGTACAGAAGACACCAGGCACAGTGCGCTGGAGAGCGTAACTTTTCGTTTTATTCGGGCTGCTCTGACAGCAGGAGAGTCGAATGCCATTGGCCAGTACAGCATGAAAAGAGCCATATTTCTCCATCTCACGATCTGGTTTGACTCCAAGAGTGGCTGAATTGGGCAAAACTTTATGTGTAAATATTAATATATATATATATAAGTGAATTATACAGAATGAAATTGGCTAAATTACGTTTGCAACACATACCTTGTTTAGTGAACATGTCAAAATCCTTTAGTTTGTCCTCTTTTTTTCTCTGTGAAATGTTTGTGTAGAACTGATGGCCATCCTTCTTCACACAAACCTTCACTTGTGTCATTCCTTAAGATGGAAACCAATCATATAATTAAGGTTTAAAAGATCTAAAATAACAGAAATTATGTAAGCAAATTAATGTATATTGTGCATGTTTGATTTCTCAAACCTTGTGTGAAGTGAAAACTCTCCACATCTATTTGTCCTCCATCACAGGGATAGAGAGACTGAACTTTGCCAGTGACCTGCACCAGTTTCCCATTTAAACTGTAGCCTGTGAATACCTATGTGAAATACACAAACGTTTAGCTTATTCATTTCAAACTTAGCACCATCAATTCTAGACAATGAGCATTTAATGTGGTTATATTTTCAGACATCTGTTTTTCTCTCATTTGCTGGTTCTTGAGGCGTCTCTGGAATATCTCTAGTTTTGTCTTTAGTAGTCGAGCTGGGTGTTTTGGACATGTTTTCTCTACTCTTTCTTGAGGATGCTGAAGTCTTCTTGTTCTCCTTAACAGAGGCAATTGTCTCTTCTACTTTTGGTGTTGCTCTTCCCCCTTTTTCTTTCTTTGTCTTTTTGGATTGCTCCTCCTCCCTTAATCTCTCCTGGTCCATTTTCCATGCCTTAAGTAAATACATTAGAAAAACGACCAGTGTACGGATCATGTGTATAGCTAAAATATCAGCGCAGTCTCATCCCAAGACGTCATATAACTGACGTTTTGGGACGTCTTTTGACCATACGTCAACATTCGACTTTTTAGGGTACCCTTAAAAGTCCTTTAGATGACGTTATCGGATCCTAACCCTACCCCAGACCTAAACCTACCCCATCACCTAACTGACGTTAAAGGTAAAGCGCCAGTTGTATGACGGCCCAGGATCGTCAACCCTAAAAAGGCGGATGTTGACGTATGGTCAAAAGACGTCCCAAGACGTCAGTTATATGACAACTTGGGATGAGACTGTGTTAAAAATATTTGTTACAATCAAAATCTGAGCTCACTTTGAGAGAATCTTCTCTTATATATTGTTCTAATGTGTCTGAGATTGGGGACTTCACTGAGGAGTCTAATAGAAAGAAATGCAAAAATCATTATATCCATAGTAACATATTTTCATATATATTTGATGTCATCTACATGATCCTGCTCATAGACACATATATTAGACATTAGATATGTTGCCTGTATTTCGGTCAGCCTCTGAAGGGGTTTGGATGGGAGTTCTTTCCGCCTCTTTCTTCTCTTGCTCCATCTGCCATTTTTCCTCTTCCTGTCTGGTCCATTCCCTGATTGAGTCTGCCACATATTCCAAATAATTCCTGAAAGAATAATATAAGATAATTCATATACATTTTTTTTAATATTATATCAAAATATATCTATAGGATATATAGGAAAACTTGAAATTCATAAATGTATCTTTTAATTTTTGATAGTGTAAAAATGTTTATTAAAAATGTTAAGCAAATTAATGTTGAAATAAATTGGCTTTGGGTAATTGTACCATAAAGTACCTGAAGCCCACATCTGTGTGAAGTGATGCATCCCAGAATTCCTTGCAACTCCTCTGAGGGCTCATGGGATTGTGGCAGATGACATATGTGGCATTGTCTCTGGCACAGTGAAATGTGTCCACACATCTATAAGTCTCAGATGCAGACTGGATGACCTGAATATGAGAAGAGATTTTCAAAATATTAAATTGAAATTAGAATTATATATTATATTGTAATTATATTGCAAAAATAAGCAGAGATTTGAAGGTGGTGTACCTGGGGAAAAACAGAAGCACTGTGCTTCTCTACAAAGTTCCAGTGTCCCAGCTGACGAATCAAGGTCTTCTGGAGATCTGTTACTGTTACTTCATTATCCTATATAAGTCATTAGGATATTAAAAACAATCAATTGCTAATGAATGATAGTGTCGAGATAAATGTTTAATTTCAGCTTTTTTATTTCAAAACTTCAATCATACCGTTGGTTCGTCAGTGCCATTGTTTTTTGCTGATCCTTAAAAAATAAAACAACTGATATGTACAAGTAAAGACTTCAACGCTGCTTTAAAAATACTTTTTTAGAAATTGAATGAATTTGCAATGAATGGTCTTGTGCTGGTTTCACACCTGGTGTCCTGCTGTTGCTCCAATACAGGCGTTTGGTGAATTCAACAGGGTTGTCCCATGGTGTGGGGTTTGAAAGGTTGCATTGAGATCTTTTAATACAGCCTTTCTCATCCACTGTAGTCAAACGCATGCTCTCAAACACAAACAGCTGGAGAAGCCTCTGTAGCTCAAACCAGCTCAGTGACTCTGGAGATACACATCAAGTCAATACATCAGGAAGAAAACTGGCAATTAAAACAGCAAGTCATTGTCCTCGTCTCTCACCATCAGTGCAGAAGTGCATTAGCTCCTGTGATCTGGCCAGTCTAACAGTGGTGCTCTCAGTGTGTCTGACCATCAGGTCGGTCCACACAAGGCTTTTCTTCATGATGTCTGCTTCAATTTTGGCGACATCAAAACCATCCAGGATCTGAATTCAACATATGAATACGGATTTTATTTATATCAGTTGTCAGTTGCATCTTATGTATTTAAACACTGATTGTAGGTGACTTAAAGCTTAAATGTGCTCATTTGAAACATGATCGATGTATCCGAGAGGGCAAATGTACAGATTCAAACGTTTGTGTGTGCTTTCAAGCATTTATGGGGAACAGTCAGCATATTCCCATGCTCACAGGAAGCTGAAGGAGTCTCCTTGCGCTCTCATCATGGTGATTGAGCAAGAGAGGGTGTTTCGGATCTGCATTCATTGGGCTTTTCTGCATCCCAAAATCCTCCATGAGTTCCTGCCATCAAACAAACAGATTATGGCAACTAAAGATTGATTTTGATTTAGAAACCCAATGTCTTTTGTTTGCATTTTACCTTCTTGTCTTCTTCATCCAGTGGCAGACTCAAGAAAGATGAAAGCATGTATCTGATTAGATCTTTGTCTGTTCTATCAACGTGCTCCTCTGAATCAACTGATCCTGCATTGACTTCCTGTTCTGAGGCCACCACCTAGACATCACACAGGAAGATACAAGACTATTTTAGCTGAAGAACTTAACAGTTGTCTCTTTAGTCTGTTCACTCATGTTAAGAATACAGTTTAAGGTTAACAGTCTTCTATCTCTTTAAATGAAAGGTTATGTTGAATCCTACAAAGTTCCCTCACCTGCTCCAGCATGCAATGCAATATAAGAGATACAGATGTGATTTCGGTTGGAATCCTGTCTAGTAGGTCACAGTAGTATCTCATATTAACCTCTGTGCTCTGAACAGGAGACTCTGGCTCTGCTGAGGAAACTCAAAGACGTCACACACTTGCACAACAGAGAACAATGTGAATGAGCACAGGATTTTGTGCACTTATTTCCAAGTGTTAGTCCCGCTTATTTGCAGGGTCCGCTTCATCTGAATTATCTGCACACACACATTGGATTTGGCACAGCTTTTACACCCGATGTCCTTTCTGACTTCCTGGGACAGTCACACACACACTCATAGGGCCAATTTGGCACGTTCAATCCACCTAACCTGCACGTCTTAGGACAACATTGAACAACTGTATTTTATTTGAACTAACATTAACAAAGATGAATAAATGCTGTAACTAATTTAATGCTCATTGTTAGTTTATGCATTTACTAACGTTAACAAATAAGACTTTTATTTTGGACTGTTACAGTTTTTATTGATATATGTATTATGTGTGTGTGTCTGGTCCTGGTAAACCCTACGTTATGGGGACAAAATGTCTCCACAAAGATGGCTATGTCCCCTTCTGGGGTCATTTTTTGGTCCCTGTGAGGAAAACAGTAATTTGAAAATGTAAATATGCAGAAAGTTTTCTGTAATAGTTGTGTGTGTGTAAGTGCATACACTGTGAAAAAATATTGATGGTTTAACTTGAAAAAAAGTAAGTAACCTGGTTGCCTTAAAATTTTCATTGAACTGGAAAAAGTGAGTTAATACAATGAAGGAGAATGATTTAATCTTTAGAAACTCAAAACTATATGTTATCTGAACTAAATAAATTATTTAAGTTGATTTGACAAAAGAAAAAATGTTGTGATTACTACACTGTAAAAATATTGTTGGTTAAACTTAAAAAAGTAAGTAACCTGGGTTGCCTTAAAATTTTAAGTTGATTGAGCTGGAAAAAGTGAGTTAATACAAAGAAAGAGATTCATTTAATCATCAGAAACTCAAAATAATAAGTTATCTCAACTAAATAAATTATTATAAAGTTGATTTGACAAAAGACAACTAATCTTGAAAATATTTTTTACAGTGTAGAATATACAGTTTGTACAGTATAAAAAACATGTCTATGGAAAGTCCCCATGAAACATGAAAACACGTTTTTTTTTTCTTTTCTTTTTTTTTCTTGAGTGTGTGTGTGTGTGTGTGTGTGTGTGTGTGTGTGTGTGTGTGTGTGTGTGTGTGTGTGTGTGTAAAGGATGTATTGGTAAAAGCAAAGCTCAGAATCAGTGTAACATGTCTTGTACCAGGGTCTTCCTCTGTCACTACTTTCTTTCTTGGAGTTTGCACAACCTAAAACACAAACCACGATAAATATCAGCACCAAGAAACCAACATGTATATCCTGCCACAATACACTTCTGAAGCTAAAGTCCCCCTGTGAAAATCAAGCTTTTACTGTTGTTTATGTCTATGTGGTGTTTTTAATATGCTTTAAAACAAACCATGTGCAAATTCACAAGTCAACACCATTGCTGAGTAATTTCTCCTTAAAACTGCAGTGAACCAAAGACAATCTCAAAAACACAGTTTGAAATCGCTGGTATTTCTGATATCAATAAAATACCTCGTAACCAATAACGTCAACCAGTCGATCTCTGAGCCGGTGTAAATAAGTGGAGGCGGGGCAAATTAGCATATTCATAGAACAACGTATACTAAAAGAGACAAGGGTGTAGAGTTATATTCAAGCTTTTTTTTAAGGATTTTTTTTTTAAATATGTAATTTTTGTGGTCAAAGATTAGTTTTAAGAGAGAAACTATTGACTACAGGGGGACTTTAACTGATTATAAAGTGTTTTTTTGTTGTTGTTGTTTTTACCTCAGTGGAGCTCTGCGGTCGGGACTGTGGGATGGATCTGCAGGACAAAGGCACCTGGATCAACCTCATGCAGCTGAGATAATGGTTGTACTGTCTCCTCCAGTCCAGGTTGTCATACACCAGACACGCCACACTCTCAAATATAGCAGCTCCAAACGCCAGCTACAGACAGTAGTGGATGAAAGTAATATAATGTAATATGTAAACTTCTGCAGGCAAAACAATGGCACTGACATATTTTAAGAATTCTCAGGCCAAGTTGCTTTCAGTTAATGCATTTTAGTCTGGCATAGCTTAAACCATGTCTGTGAAACTGGGGGTACTAAGCACACTAATAGGTAACACTTTACTTGAAGGGTTATGCGCATAAGACTAACATGACACCTTCATAATCATGACATGACATATGTTATATATATGAAGGAAGTTTTATGCATGTTTGTGACAACTATCATTAAGTGTCATTAGCTCAGTTATGACATTTTTAATGCAAATATGACATTGTTAGAGATGTCTTTGTAATGACACCTTGAAATAAACCAATAAATCATAACCGGTCAGTGTCTTTGTCATGACAACTTGACATTACTAAGACAAAACAACTTGTCATAAACATGACATAGCAGATTCATTATCAAACTTAAGAAAGCACTTAGCTTTATTGGTTAACGTTACATTAAACTGTCAGGTGGTTGGTTTTGACATTGGCTGTCATGAAGCAATTATAACTTTTTAATGACAAATTCAATTAGTACCACTGTAGTTGAGGTCACGAAAAATATTCATGACACAGTTATAATGGCCTCATGACAGCCAATGTCAAAGCCAACCACGTCGAGTTGTCATGACAAAGACACTGACAGGTTATGATGTATTGGTTTATGTCAAGATGTCATAACAAAGACATCTTAAACAATATATTTGCATTCAAAATGTCATTATTGAGCAAAAGACATTTAATGACAGTTGCATAAACCTTACTTCATATTCAAGATATATGTCATGTCATGGTTATGATGGTGTCATGTCAGTCTTATGCACGTCCCTTCTAGTAAAGTGTTACCGTTTTGGGTTCTGAAAAAAAAAATGTTTCATTCAGTTTTTGCTTAAAACAAGAAAAAATAAATCTGCAAATGGAGTAAGAAAAATAATATAGTTTACCCTTCGAAATTAAGTTTATTTTTTAACCTATTGGCAGATATTTTTTTTCTTGTTTAAGCATAAACTAATTTCATTTGGATACATTTTTCAGAAAGTAAAATGTAATATCTTAAGTCATTTTGCTACTCCAGTGTATCTTGATTTAAGAATGTTTAGATATTTGTACTAAAAACTAAGAAATCGTTAGAAATTGTACATGTTCACCATTTCTTCGACATTGTCTTTGTCCTGCGGCAGCAAATGGATCTTCACGCTGTAGTTCAACCTGGCCACATCTCTGAGTCTGGATCCCATATTCCCACTGTTCAAGACGCGATCCAACATCTCCCAGAACACATCTAGCTCCTGTTGCCTCCTTTGTTTAAGAGTCTCAACTTCTGAACACAGGACAAGTTAAGACTTGATGACTTTAAATCCAGATTTTGTGTAATATAATTTGAAAGGAATAAGTTCAATGAAATTCTTAGTAACTTGCCCTGATCTTCAGGTGAGTGATGGTTCTCCTCTGCTGCTGTTTCTGTTGTTGCCTCTGATTGGTCTTCTCTCTCTAAGTTCAGTTTTATAACATTGGACACATGGATACCCAGAGAGTCCAATGCAGAGATCAGATGAGGTTGGTAGAATCCCACTATCAGGATGTAGTGCTCTGGCCCATCATCAGGCTCATCATCTGGACAGATATGTTTAAACTCAAAATTAAAACACTATTTGCAACCCATTTCATTTTCAAATCTGCCCTATTTCCAGGATATTCCACTTGACGCAATTTTTTTTTTTTGGTAACTGGATTCCTAGTTTTAACCTTAACTGTGATCAGGCCTCACCAATGTATTTGAGAGTATTTTCCTCTTCCCCTCTGCGTTTGAGTTTGGTGTCTTTAGTTGGGACTGGAGGCTCGGCAGCTTTTTTGCCCTTTGCTGCTCCTTTACCCCCCTGATCCTTGCTGGCAGAATTCAGGCCCGCTTTAACATGAGCATTCTCCTCTACAGCCTTAAATACACACACTCTGTGTTACTGTTTATCAGAAAACATAGGTATGATAAAATGTTTGCATAGTATATTTGATTAGAATTTTGCAGAATAAATGTGTAAGTGTAAATGTAATCCTCCCCTGCATTATATACAGTAGTATTTTTTCCATAAATTATTGTTCACAATCTGGTTATCAGTTTTTAAGAGCTTTCAATTGTATACAATATTACACAAATCAAGTAAGTGTCAATCTGTTTATTATAAAGAGAAATAATAGAATAACCATGACATGAGTCAACATAAATTGCAATACCTGCTTTAGCTAATGGTGAAAAGCTCTCACCTTCCGTTCAGCAGCCCGTCTTGCAAAGTCATTGTTTTTGATGGTCAGAAGCTGAAACTTTATTAATTTTGCCATCAGGTCCACAGTAATTTCCTCTCCACCATCCATCAAAGACTTTGCAAGTTCAGTCACCTAAAGAATTTGACATTATTTTGTCATTTAAAATTTCAGGTCTCAAAAGACATTATGAAAATTATGATTATGATTCTAAAATAAAAATCTATACATTATTTGTAACACTATACTGAGATTACACTTTGTCATGGTAATAAAAATACCCACCTCAAAAAACATGGGACCATCTTTAGTCTTTCTGGTCTTTGGATTTCCCAGTTCATTGATCTGTGTCACATAAGATTGGTTTATTTACGACGACTGATTCTAATATTTTTATTTCTTATATTTCATTAACGAAATATTTGGTCAGAAACCTTTTCCAGAGTGTCCCCCCAGGACAGCACGCTGAAAAGCTTGCGCAGGGGCTTTTGGACGGCCTGCTGGAGGGCGTTTATGAGCTGTTCGTCCTCGGCTCTCTCTGCCTGCACCATAGACAGACTGGCCCTCCAGTCATTCTAGTCACAGATGATTCAGGTGAGGAAAAAAATACTTCCTTTTTTGTCTGATGAAGCAATTCTATATTCTGCAGTGTTTACAAGCTGTGCACTGGCTATAAGATTGAGCATTTCTTTGTTTAAAGGGATGTAGGCCTATACAAAAACAGATGGATGTCAGGGACTAAGAACCTTCCCTTAGTCACCATTCACTTTCATTGAACCTTTTTGTAATATCAAGTGAATAGTGACTGTGTCTGTCATTCTGACAAACAACATAATCGAGTGTAAATGATGAGAAAGGACAGAGTTATATAAGAAGAACAACAAGAGCAACAACATTAAGTTGTTGAGCACAGTTAAGTAACGTTATACATTTCAAACACGTTTTAACATAGTTTATTAAGCGTCATTTATATGTACCTCCTCAAATACAGCATCAGTAAGAGCCGTTTCCCAGCTTTTGTTAGCAGCAGCTGTCCCAGTTGGAGTTACAGACGGAGTAATGCCTTTATTCCGTTTGGGGGGCATATCAACTTTGAATAAATTAGACTGACTATATATATATAGACTATATATATATATAATTAGACTGAATACAGCGCCTCTTGTCAAATATACTGCCAATAAGTAATTAATTAGTTATTGTTCTATTACTTTTAAGTTACTGTGTTCATCCATGCAAAAGTTAAAAGCGTCGTGGTAACCTATGGAAACCAAACAGGCTTGCGTCTTGCGTATTCTACGCGAAGCGCGTTTCTCAACGCCGAGCGTGCGCAGATGAAATATAGACCATACGTCACTAATGTGCGCCAGCGGTGAACATGGCGAGCAGTAAAAGAAGTGCGCTTCTGTCTTCACTAGCTGCATATGGGGATGATTCAGAGCAGGATTCAGATCCAGACACAGATGATCAAGGTATACGCTCTAATGAATGTTAGGAAAAGCATGTAAATACCGGCGGTTGGTAACACTGATGGCTTTGTTGTGGTTAGGCTAACGTACGCGCTGCTACAAATGACAGCGAATGCGATGAAATAGACAAAATTTACATGTAAATAGCTTATTTGGTGAAATATATTACTGTCATGAGCTGAACTAGCTGTTTCTTGATGGTTGGCTTGTAAGAAATTATTATTATTATCACGACGAATACTTGGCCGTGGAGTGCTGTCGCATAAAGAGACTCGTTCCATATTTGATTTACTTTATGATAAAGAGCTTTTTATGCTATGTTCTTCTGGTACTTTATGTAGTTGTTTTAGTGCTGGGCAACGATTAATCGCATTCGAATCCAAAATAAAAGATTGTGTTTATATAATATATCTGTGTGTAATTATATTGTAAATACAGAAATACGCATGTATATATTTAAGAAATGTATATACTGTATTTACATTAATACATAATCGTGATATATAAATACAAATTCTTAAATGCATACATGTCTGTTTATATATACAGAATAATTATACACAGTACACACACAGATATATATTATGTAAACACAAACTTTTATTTTTTATGTGAGTAATCTTTGCCCAGTACTAGTATTTTTATGCTTAAAACGTTCTAAAACGATTGTAACTTGGTGTTAACCTTTACTGTCCTCAAAAAGATCTTGTATTAATGTGTTATGGATTTACAGTAGCAACAATAACTTGTATAGGCTTTCCTACCGTTGTAACTATATCCAGTTAAACTCAATCTTTTTAAACCGTATTTGGCTCTTTCATGTGCCTTTATGAATTTTCTTATTCAGTTTGTCTCTTTCTGATCGATGTTATATAATATGAAGACATTTCAGTGTTTGATTTTAAGGTGATAACAAACTGGTAGTATGTTATAACACCCCTTGCTATCGTCGGGAATGGAAGTCAAGGTTCTTGTGAATATCTTGACTAGTGGAACTGAAAATGGTTACTTTTTGTTCTGCAGAATCAGAATCTCATGGTGGATTGGTGTCGGCTAGTTACGGAGAGGATGACTTGAGTCGTGTGGAGGAGGCAGAGGAGAAGCCCTCGGAAAATGAGGATAGTGATGAGGACAGCACTAGAAATTCGGTCAGTTTTCACCATATCTTTTTCAGTGTAGGGTTTTTCTGTCAGACCATTACATTCACATGAAATAATTTTCCTCAAAATGATTTTGTTTTATTCAATATTCAATATTATTTTTTTCAACTGCCTGAGACTAGAGCCAACAAAAGGAAATTGTGGCAAAAAAAGAGTCTTGATTTCTCACTTGATTTGAAATAATAAAAGTTCCAGTCCTTTATTATAACATTTTAATATTTCAAATTAAGTGAAAATCAAGTAATCTCAATAATTTGTTAGTTTTGTATTTGCAATAATTCTTGTCACATTTATATAGCCTACATATAGATGGATGGATAAATAATTGCAATGTAGGCAAATTACCATTTGTTTTAATTGCAGATAATTCCTGACAGGTTATATAATTAATGTCATATAAAGGTTAGAAACTATTTCATAATATGACTACACTCTGATGTGTTGTAATGTAGTATGATCTAGTTTTTCTCATTACTATTAGTCATTAAGTCCTGGTCAGGGACTTACAGTCAGGGCTTAGGTTAAGCCAGGAGTAGGCCTTAGATAAATTAAGTAGCTTTTATAAACTCACCTTAAAAAAAAAATATTGCCTGTGTGCATCTTGAGACAAAACAATGCCACTGACATAGTTTCAGATAATTCAGGGCAAATTGATTTCAGTTAAGACAGCTCAAACATGCATTTTAGGCTTTTACTAGGTTTAAGCGGTGTTGGCAAACTGGCATATGGGTACTTTTAGCAAATATATGCTATTTCCTTAGGTCTGTGTCATAATTGAATTTATCATTAAAAAGTTCACAGTCAGAACTGCATTCCCAGTCAGAAATGAATTCAATTCCCAGTCAGAGCTGAATTCCCGGTCGTTCTCTGAGAACCATGGTTGAAACGTTGCACAACTGAAGGGGGAGCTCTTGATATTAGTTTAGTTTAGTTTAGTTTATTTGTTTAGCACGTTTAGTACAAGTACAGAACAATGCTAGGAGGGAACGAAGCCAGACTAGGCTTGTACAGAGTTCCACTCCTATTCATATTAACTCACGAGATATGCAGACTAAGCATCACAGAAGAAAAAAAGAAGAACAACAACAAAAAACAGAACACACAAAACAAAAGATGAAAAATAAAAATAAACAACAAATGATAGAAAGCAATTCAATACAAACAAATGTGCTTAGAAAAGAAAAGCGAGGAAAATATAATATATTATATTATATATATATATATAATAATAATAAAATAAATAAAAACTACAACATAAAAGGCATCAAGCTAGCGATAGTAAACTCTTCAAATGCTTTGTAAAAGCTGAATAAGAGGACATTGATTGCAACGATGGACTTAACTCACTCCAAAGCTTAGGACCTCTAAAAGAAATATTAAATTGGTGTCTTGTGGTACGTGCGATTGGTAAGACTAAGTTATTATTGCTATGTCTAGTGTGCAATGAATGAACATGTGAGATAGGAATAAACAAATTCTGGAAAGAGTCTGGTAGATCTTGTTTCCTATAAATAAACTTATGCATAAGTAAGCATGTTTGATAAATATTTACCTTATCAATAGGGAGAACTTTAAATTTATTAAAAAGAGGGACCAAAGGTGCATATCTGTTTGAATGGGAAATAAATCTAAGATACTTTTTCTGTATAACTAATAATTTATTAAGGTGGGTAGGATATGTAGCTGCCCAAACAATGTTGCAATAATTAATAAATGGAAACAAAAAACTATAATATAAGGTTAAAAATGCTGAGGAATGAACCAAAGGACAAACCCTCCTCAATATACCCAACATTTTAGCTGACCTCTTAGAAACAAAATTAATATGATTAGACCAATTAAGACCACTATCAATAATGACTCCTAAAAATCTGGTATGCTGAACCAATTCGATTTGTGTATTATTAATGTAGATCTTAGATAATTCAATAGGGTAATGTTTGTGAGTATTACAAAAAATCATAAAGTTGCATTTTTTTATATTGAGAGTAAGTTTGTTCGATTGAAACCATTCCATGATATATGATAGTTCCTCGTTAACCATTTTTATTAGTATATTGAAGTCATGGTGCGAAGCTACAAGATTTGTATCATCAGCGAATAGAACTGGAATATGCGAATATGGTTTGGTAATGTGACTTTGGTGACCCTGTTCTTTTTGTTTTCATAGGAAGAGGAGGAGTCAGACTCAGGGCGGCCCCAAGATGATGTGAAGGTATTTAACCCCACCTAAATTCCCTGTTCTGGGTATCAAACTCAAGACACACCCTTCCAAATTTATAGTGTTATGATTGCTCTCAAACCAAGAGAACACTGCATCACTCCATCTGAGGAACATGTGTGTTTGAACTTGCATAGAAGGGTCTTATGAGTAATACAGCATTTTTTTTTTTGTTAAACATCAGGTTTATGCACACTGCAGGTACTTATGTTATACAATCATTAAAAATTTACTTAGCTGTTGTCAGTGTTTTTTAAAGTTTACAGATTCTCCCTGATTTTTTTTTTATATATATCCCTTACACAACAACAGTACTATGTTGGTACCTTGTCCTTGATATTTTGATGATATTCAATGATGAGACCATGGGCACTTGTTGATAATATTTTAAATATTTTGTATACGTAGTAACCGTTACTGTAGTAACTAACATAACTGAATGTACACTACAATTCAAAAGTTTGGTACAGTAACATTTTTAAAAAAAAATTTTTATTTATTTAAAAATACAGTCATATTGTAAAATATTTTTGCATTTTAAAATGTAATTTATTCCTGTGATGGCAAAGCTGAATTTTCAGCATCATTATTCCAGTCTTTAGTGTTACATGATCCTTAAGAAATCATTCCAATATGCTGATTTGCTGCTCAAGAAATGCTTGCTGCTCTTTCTATTTGAATCTTTGAATAGTAAGTTAAAAAGAACAGCATTTATTTGAATATAATGTAAACATCTTGTTCGACAATTTAATACATCCTTGCATATATATATATATATATATATATATATATATATGTATGTATGTGTATATATACATATATATGTATATACTATATATACATATATATATATTTTGTTCAAAATCAGCATCAAATTTAATCAGCAACAAATTTCTGTTGCGGTTTTATGAACAGTATTTCTCATTATTAGTTTGAATACCTAGAATCTAAATTCTAAAGTGATCTTAAAGGAATTCTGATGTGCAAAGCACTGCAAGTTATTTCATGCAGTGAAATGACTTTTTCACAATAGTAGCTTGTGATGTTGCATCAATTTAGCGCCACACCCCAGAGAGAGAACGCTGTTCTTCATAATCACTAAATGATTTAAGACATGCTTTGCAATGAAATAATTAAATTATGATTGCTTAATAGAACGTTTTTAAATGTAAGAGTTATAGTGCATTTTCTTTTTATGTGGGTTGACTTTCAGTTTTATGTGGGTTGTCCTTGACTGTTTTTCATCCCAAAAAATACAATTCTCATTTACTCACACTCTTGTTGTTCCAAACTTATATGGTGTTGTTTTCCATTAGGGCCCAAAAAGGGGAATTTTAAGGAATCTTTTTTTACAACTATTTTCCACACGTACACACACATACACACACAAAAAAAAAAAACAAAGCAGCATTTGGGTTTGGAATGGCATTAAGGTAACAGTTCCTTTTAAGCGCAGGCTGTAATCTTCACTTATTGAAGTGTCTTTATTATTCAGACATTTTTTTTGTCTTCAATGTTGTTAAAGTGCATGCAGGGGCATGACAATGAAATGCCGAGGGGTAGCTCCTTTAACCCGTGGTCCTATTTTTGGGCTAATCTAAATGAAAAAGACCCCTTTTTAGGCAGGCCCCCTGCCTCAGTGAAGATGGATGGGTCCTTTTTTGTGTCTAACATTGTTTTGAAATGGTGAGTTTTCAAGTGAAAGGACTGTTGTTAGGATTTGCGCTTTTGGCCACAAGAGATTCCTCTCTCAGTGAGTAATGTCATTCTCTCTGTGCTGTCCCAGACACATTTTCTACTTGGGCGCTTGCCGCTTTTACGAGACGATTCTTCCATCTGCATATTCTGTTGCTGAGTGACTGTATCTGAGATCGTGTAAAGAGGCCCAGTGTACTTTTTTCAGCCTAGTTCAGTATTTTTTTCAGCCTAGTTTTACTATTCACTTTGGTGCAGATTTCATCACACCTTGGGTTTCAAGCTTCCCAAGAGAGACATTTTGTGTTTTAAAAGCTACAGCAAAGGATTAAACCTATTTTCTTCTGAATAGCTAGTTGTGTATAAAGATGTGCGTTAATAAACACTTATATTACGCTATATTTATGTAAAATGAAAAACTGTTTATCCTTTGACTTTTCTGTTGGAAGATTTTGGAGCTTACACAAGGGGGTGCTAACACTTTTATTAAATCATTAAGCAGGCACAGTTATTATTTGATGCTGATAATGCCAAAATGGCCAAATATCATCTGGTTTATCATAATACATCACATGTGGATTGATTTGAAAGCACTGAAATGAAATGTATTATTGATTGTCAATATGTGTTTTTTTACCATTTCTTCTATTGTAGGATGTCCTGGAAGTGGAGGTTAAAGACCCCAATGAGCTTGTTGGTAAGTATCAAATGAATCAAACATTCCCTAATTTCCATTAAAATATCTTTCCAAAGAGATGGTAGAAAGCATTGATGTGTGTTTGTGCTCCAGTCAACATGGTCTAAGAAAGTTGCTGAGGTGTGTGTTTGTGTACCTTGGCCGTGCCCAGGAAATGAGGGATCCAGGTTGGATTGCTTCAGTTCTGTTTTATGGCAACTCTGTGTGATATTAGTTTGATTATAGTGACACATCATCACTTTCTAAAGTCATCAGTGATATCTGATGGTCTGTCATTATATTTTGCAAGTAATAAGAATAAAAGGCTAAAAATCAATTACATTAGCAACCGAAGACGCTTAAAGCACTTTAATTTTAATGCTTATCAAAGTCATGATTTTTCCTTTAGTGTATTTTTCTTTTTCCACTTAAGGCCTATTCACACCAACATTGTTGACTATATTAGCGCCCACATCAACAGATGATATCATTCTGTTTATAATGAGCTCCCTATACAGTTATGTTGTTTGCCACTTTAAACGCTAGAGCTTTTTAAAGTCAGGATGGATTCTGATTGGCTGTCAATGTTTTTATCGTTCATCAGCTGGAAAAAAATGATTCCAATTTCCAACTAAAGGCACATTCACACCAAGAATGATAACTATAACCCTAACTATGACAAAAACTATTAGTGACCACTTCATGCACGATAAAAATGTTCTGATTATAATAAGCATGCCCTGCAGTTTCCACCTACTGCTTTAAATGCTCAAGCTCTTATAGTTGGGTGGATTCTGATTGGCTGTCAATATTTTTATCGTTTATCAGCTGGAACGTAGAGAGAGTAGGTTCTTCATGAAAAAAACGTTGTAATGTGCAACATTATGGACAACATAATACATGCATCCTGCTCTAGAAGTTTGGGTCCCTAAACTTTTATGTATGAGAACTGTATTATAATGCCACATATCTTTCTGATGAGTCTGTATCTTTCTCTTTCTGAGTTACAGTAAACAAGACATTTGGACGAGTAACTGACCGTTCCACTTTGTCTTGTTTTTCTTCACATTAAAATGTGAAAAGATCAGAATAGACGGTCTTGCTGGAGACTCAAAGATTTGCTTTGTGGTTGAGAGACAGAAGAGCTTTACATTCGGCTCTAATTTTTCCTCCTTCTCTTTTTTGGAGTCTTTCTGAGACTGGAGTTGGTGTATGGGCTTTGTGTGTGATGGTGCCACTTGTTTGGGTGAACACTGAGCTCTGAAGATGCCTGAGAAATGAGTCATGTACAGTTAACGCGTGATTACTCTGATGGAGAGGAAATGACAAATGGGGAGAGATCTACTGCTCAAAAATCAGCTAAAATCATATCAGGAATAAGAAATCCGGCTTGAGAGCAGCGGTGGGGATTTTAAGGGTTTATAGAAGACCCCTGTCTTGCCAACATTCCTGTGCGCACTTGCTGCCTGCTGCTACCACATTTACTCTAATCACACTGTAATTAAAACGTGTGAACGCTTTATAAAACACAGCTTTCAGACCAACTACAGTTTAATCCATGACAGCCACAAATAAAATTCCTGTAAATTGACAATTGTATACCAAAGTGTTTACACTTTTTAAGAAAGTATTTGTTGTGTTTGCCTAGTTAGCTGCCATGGCGGTTGCTAATAGGTTTGGGAAAAAATAGTAATTTCTCGATTTTAATCGATTCTCATTTTTATGAACCCGAAACCGATTCTTAAATTACGAAGAATCGATAATTTAGTCTATGCTGTTTTCAGACCATTGTAGCTCACCTAGAACCGTTCAATAAATCGCAATGAGCAATTCTGTCTATTTGATTTCTGAAATTAAAACCATTTTGGCACTCTTTAATATGGCATGTCAGATCACTGATCATCTCATCTCTTCCACTTTACTAATAAACATGAATGAACATCAGAAGGTATGTTAAAAGAAACATCATGTCTCATATAATCGCTCAGTCAGGTTTCAACAGCGGAAAGACGTCATTAAAATGGCTTATAAACAATATCCAGAATAATCCAAATTAAATTGAATGGGAATCAAATCGCAAGTTTAATCAAATCCTGAAATTTGCGTCAATACCCAGCCCTAGTTGCTAGGGTTTTCTGGGTGGTTTCTTGGTGGTTGTTATATATATATTGCAAGAAACATAAAATACATTGTTCCATTATGTCGTTCACAATTCATCTTGGGTGTTAAGTTCTTTCCATCATTTAAGCCATTAAGTAGACAGCCTCCTACCTTTGTCTTTTTCTCTTATTTTCAAATACACTTTTTGTCCGATTTTGCTTCAAATCAAAGTTTATTATGTTGTTATTCACCTTAAAAGACCAGGGAAAAACACCACAGTCACAGAATAAGACATAATGACACTGTTGAACTCTGTGACACAGGTTTCTTCTTAAATGTAAGCCTATGGGACTTTTTTTTAACATCCGCCAGGTGAAAAATGGCAAGTCTGATCACTTGTCCTAAAGCCTGTCATTTTGAGAAACTGCACAATTTGATGTTTCATTTATCATCAAATCGACTTTTAATACTGAAGGTTTGGGATTTAGCTGAGGAATAATAATAATGAATCTGATTATTTTAAATGCTATCTCTGTGTTATATTCATTCCTACCTCTTTCTCTTTAGAGTAGCTCTACAGGTGTGCATGACCTGTTTAGCCAAAGGGTTGTTCTCAAATGTTCAGTTTGCGTAAGGCAACTGATGAAAATGTTCATCGCCAGAAGCCCTGTTTCTACATGTTTATATCTGTGCATGGCTTTGGGAAGTGTGCCACTTCTAGAGTGCTCCACCCAGCCCTTCCCTGCTTCTGTGTGTGTGTGTGTGTGTGTCATGTGTTTTACCAAACGGAGCATGTTTTGGCCCACAGTCATTGCCTCAGATCTGCCCAGAACAGCAGCCAGGGGGTGTGAGAGATGCAGATGGGGGGGAGGAAGGGTGTTTGGGATTGAGAAGAGTGGAGGTGAGGTGAAGGGGAATTCGGCAGTAGCCTGTTCCAACCAGTATGGTTTGAAGAGTGTTCACTGCTGCATGTGGACGCAACCACAAATTCCATTTCTCCGTAATTTGCTCCAGAGATGTCTGACAGACTGCTGATAGATGCTTGCTTCTAGTTTGAAGAAATAAAGAAAAAATACAGAGTTCTTGCACATGCTTGCGAAATTGTAGTGGATTAGTGTCATTTTAAAAATGTGAAACTAAAAATTTAGCTTGAGGTTAAAGTTGCATACGGAATCCAGAATATTTGTGTGTTTGGAAACTTTATACTGCTGATGGGAGAAGGATTTTCTTCATGATTTTATTTTTATTTATAGTTTTTAGTATGTTCTTGCCGTTTTTTTTTAACTTGCCAAAATTGTCATTTGTATGAAATATGTAAAAATATACCAAAGAAAAATTGTAACTTAAATAATTATATATAATCTTGCACCACTATATATATATATATATATATATAATACAGTATACATCACCCTATTCACCTTACCAACATGCTAGATAAAACATGCATAGCAATGCCCTGGCATCCTAGCAGAGAGTTTGCATGTTTAAGCACAACTATATTTTCTTGAAAAAATTTAGTTTGTTTTTTATCAGCATATGATCATCATTACTCTATTGAAGCACACCTGTTTATACTATAAAGTAAATTGTAATATTCATGCTTTTAAATCTTCAAATGAATATTTTCTTCTTCTTTATAGCACAGTTTTCGGAGAAGGTTCGGAACATGTCTCCTGACGAGATCAGAATTCCTCCTGAACCTGCCGGGCGTTGTTCCAGTCATCTGCAGGTGAGATTGTGGCTCTGTTCTGTTTGAGATGTTCTTGACTTGTTGCCATGGGGTCCAATGAGAGAACTTGTTTTTGATAGATGCTAGTCTCTCAGCTGCTATCAAATAGCTTGTCCGCTGACCATTCACAGGCCTATGCATATTGCACAAACAAATAACAAGACTGATTGAACTGATCACATGTTAGTTAAGTCCTTTTCATTATAAATTAGATCCTAAGGACACTTACATTTGTGAAAAATCTGAACTTTTACAGAAATCAACACATTTTCCATTTCCTTTCAATTCTGATTATTTCAACGAGCACTTGTTTACTTTGATAATTGGCTGCTGTACTATAATTTCTAATTTGTACATAAACCTGATGTTAAAAAGAAGTTGGTCAATTTAAATGTCAGTCAGATAGCCTTTTCTGTAACACTTTATAATAATATCTCATTTGTTAACATGAACTACATTATTTAACATGACTACAGATTTTTTTAGGCTAGTCTTAGGTAAAGGTAATTTCATCATGTACTATTAAATGTTTTCAAATAAAAGGGATTTTGCATTCTTTAAAAAATATTTTGCTCGTTGTTCGTTTAGGATGTATGCTGCAAAAGTAGACCTGACTTTATGCTGATTGTATTCTCATGCTGAAATAGGGTTTTTAATTAAGTCATCTTTCATATAAACAAACACTGTCTGATAGTTTTATTTCCATAAATACTTGAAGCTGAATTCTGGGTTATTATAATTTACTAAAAATAAAACCATAAATTCCATTACTTCAAATAAAATAAATGTTGTTTTTTTATCGGTTGTTTGCTAAGGCAATTTCTCATTTTTATTTAGTTTAACTTGATGTACTAAAATAACAAGCAGAAATATAGTATAATAAAAATTATATAGATATGTAAAATGAATAAAACTGACCAAAAAAGAAATTGAAAACAGGAAATACAAAAATTAATACAAAAAATACTGGTTGAAAACTAATAATAGTATCTTAATTAAAGGGTTACCCACCCACCAATGAAAATACTTACTCATCCTCATGATGTTCCAAACCCGTAAGACTTTTGTTCATCTTCGGAAGACAAATTAAAATAATTGATTAAGTCCGAGAGCTTTCTGTACCTCCATATACATACAGCAACTCTACTACCTTTCTGGGTCTTGAAAGTGGTAATTAAGACAACATTAACATAATCCATCTGACTGCAGTGGTTCAACCTTCATTTTATGAAACTATGAGAATATTTTGTTCGCAGAAAATAAAACAAAACCTTTTTGGAAAGTTGCTGTAAATGGAGGCACAGAAAGCTTATGAATTTCATCAAAAATATCTTAATTTTTGTTCTGATAATGAACAAATATCTTACAGGTTTGGAAGTAATTAAAACAACATGCGTAGACTATTCATGCAAATAAACCATATGATTGGTGCTTCTCATTCTTGGTGAATTCTGAATTTTCCAAAGAATTCGATTTTTTTTTTTTTTTTTTTTTTTTTTTTTTCCATATTATATCCTCTGAAAAACATTCTATCCGCTGCTCTGTTTTGGTTGGACTGCTACGCTTTGTCAACAGTCATAAAAAGAGATCATATCATATGAGTGCATTGTTTTAGTTCTTGGCAACGTCTAAGAGCACATGTTCAGATCCTGGCTGGCATGTTTTGTCTCAGGGTGTGGCACTGGGGGGGCTCAAGTGGGTGGAAGGTTGTGGGTGTCAGTCTTTCAGGTGTTTTGCCTCACCCGGGGGTAAGGACTGGCAGTTTGCCCTAAATCATGCAACTTGCATCCTGTCAGAACATGTCCAGGGATTTAAACATTTGAGGTCAGTGATGTCAAAACCATGCTGATGCTGTTGTCATATTTGAACACATTATGAATAAATATTAACAAACCACATTATTCAATCTTATTGATCATACCACTTCCTGTCGTGGCTCTGTTTCTCGTGAGCTGTTGGGGCAGGTGTGCCCGGGTGTGGTTTTCACACTCAGTGTAGTACAGCCTAGTACTGATAGATGGGCTGTGCTTTTCCACGTCATGATTAATATCCTGTCCTTGTGGCTGTGCTTTTATCACTGCTCAGACATGATCCTCATTCCCTCGTACACCTCAGTTGGTCTTCTTGCTAACTTTCTTGTAGTACATTTTGTACAAATGAAGATCAGTGTCTTAACTGTTTCAACAAAGGACTTTTAAATGTATTTGACTTCTTGGAATGTGAAGGGGAAACTGAAAATGGCAGATCTCCAAGTGCTTCTTGGAGTCCGGTTGTCAAAAATCACCCTCTAGTTCTAGAAACTCGCAGTCATACAAAGACTTTATTCATTCCTAGTGTCTCAAAACACTTGGAGAGAGGAAACAGTATTTTTCTTGTTTCGTAGTCCACATTTTACATAAACTTGCATTTAAAATGGAAAAAAAAATAGACAGTTTGTGTATTTAGCAAGATCATGCATGCACTTAATATTGATAATGATATGAAAAAGAATTAGATAATAAGACTGTTGTGCCTTTTTTCTTTGTAGGAAAAGATCTTTAAACTTTATGAACGGAAGCTTCATGGAGACTTTGATACAAACAGCCATATTCAAATGAAGAAAGAGTTTCGCAACCCAAGGTCTGGAGATAACAAGTTTTAATGACACACCATGCACCAGACATAACCTAAAGCAGATTATATTTTTATAGTGTTGTATTTGTTTGTAAATTAACCATCTGTTTGTGTTTATAGTATTTATGAGAAGCTAATCCAGTTCTGTGGAATTGATGAACTTGGAACCAATTATCCAAAAGTAAGACTGTTTACTTTTTAATATCATGTAAACACACATTGCTGTTTTATGAAAGTTTTTGTTTACTTCTCCATAGGACATGTTTGACCCCCATGGCTGGTCAGAGGATTCGTATTATGAGGCTCTGGGTAAATTTAGCTTAAAATTTAATTTGACATTTTCAACTCATATGGATTAAATTGATTACATCTGTTAACCATTTGTGTGCTATTCTCTCCACAGCCAAAGCTCAGAAGGTGGAGATGGACAAGCTGGAAAAAGCCAAAAAGGAAAAGACCAAGGTTAAAACCTTGAGGCACTCCACTTATTATTATTATTATTATTATTATTATTGGTATTTAATAATATTAAAAGTTTTCTTTCTTCTATATGGGCCAAAAGCTCACTGACGGTTATGTTTTACCCATGTGACTTTAGATTGAATTTGTGACGGGCACTAAAAAAGGCACCACTTCTAATGCAGCAGCTCTGGCCACAAATGCAACAACTGCCTCATCCACAGGTACAATGCATGATTGAGTGTTTAATGTAAAAAGAAGGGCTTTAAGAATGTAAAGTGATGTAATTGCAACATAAATAGGCAATGTTACTGTTGTATAATAACAGCCTGTTACTGTTGGATAATAAGAGCCTATTATACTTATTATTATTATTATTATTAATAATAAAAATATATTACCAAAAATATGATGCAAAAAATAGTCTTTAGGTCACACAAAGTCAGTATGGTCTTTTTTTTTTTGAAGACCAAGGCTTTTACTATTTAAAAAAAAAAATATATATATATATATATATATATATTTCTAAATGCTGAATAATACAGTTGGAAAAAAGCATAAAATATAAGAGAAAATCAGTCCATATATTTCTTTACTTCTAGTGTGTCGCCACTTTGATGGTAGTTGCATAAGCCATTTCTAGTTTTATAATAAATATAAAATGAAAAAACCATTGCACAACTGCAATTGGTAGGTGCGTAGGAAAAAACGACCAAAAAAAATAAGTCGAAAATGTGCCAGAGAGAAGATCCCGCACACTATCCAAACTTGCACATCACAAACTTTTTATTCAACAACGTTTTCGGTCTCACGGCCTTCATCATATATATATACCTGATGCCGTTGGAAGAAACTCGTAACTTGCATGAATTGAAATGTTTCTACGGTAGCCCTAAACGGACAAGCGCGTTTCGTTGCTATGTTGTTCTTTGTGCAAAGAAGCTGGCTAAAGTCAGCGAATAAAACACTGACACAATAATGAACAAGTAACAATAATATTTGCAGTAACATATTGTTTTACTAAATAATTAAGTAAACATAATTTCTTAATTTAACTTCATTGCTTAACTGGATACTCTGCTGTCTCAGACGACGACATCTTTTCCTGTCGGCCACCGTAACTTCTGTTGGTTGCAGTTCGTTACCTCACCACTAGATGCCGCGAAAAATCACACACTGCACCTTTAAATGGTTTTGATATATCCTGCAGCCTTTAAAAAGGTTTAATGATGCCGGTCATGGATTCTCGTCCGTGGAATGCACCACTTCTGTGTTTTGCCAATTAATCAACATGTGCAAATTGCAATCGAGGATTTTTTTAAATCAAGAACTCGTGATTTAATTGAGGAATTGTGACAGCCCAACATAAGTTGAATTATGATTAAGTCTTTATTGGTTAGTGTTACTGCAAACAAACCTACCATTAGTTCTGGTTGAATTAAACCTAAGTGCTATGATCCAACAGATGCTCAGAAGAGGAAGAGCAAGTGGGATTCAGCAGTGCCAGTAACCCTGGCACAACCCGCCCTCCTCACCACCACTGCCACCCTCCCTGGAGTCGTCTCTGTGACCACAACAGCCAGCGGCACCAAGACCACTGTCATCTCTGCTGTGGGAACCATTCAAAAAAAAGCTAAGCAATGACATGGGAAAAAGTGTTGAAAATCAGTTTAATAACAGCCGGTTTTAACTGTCTGGACAACTGGAATGGATGGTCTTTATCTCATTTTCACAAAGAGACTATTTTGGAAATATCTTTATAACGGCATAATTGTACCAGCCATTTTGTGTTTCACTTTATCTAGCTATTTTAAATGCATTCATCCGATGGTTGATACTTTTTTGTATTTAAACTTCTTGGTTGTCTTTGCCCAGATGTTTTGCATTGATTTCATGTATGTAAAAACTATCCTGCAGCTGTCATGCATTGCAAGTCATCTGAGCTTTCATGTCTAACATATGAAAACTCTTTCAAACTTGGAACAATTTTAGTAGTTTTGCATTTTTATTTTTTTCTTTTAGTAATCATTCATTGTTTGATAGATGACCAGTCAGGTTTGCCTTCTATCCGTTTCCATTTTCATGTTTTGGATGGGTCACGTCACACAGAACACCAGTTAAACATCACTGGAGTATTCAATCGGTATTTTATTACAACTGATCAGGGCTAATTGACTGTATTATTGGATTTATTGTGTAGACAGATGGTGGTCTTATAATTTAGTGCAAGTTCATTTTTACAATTTTTTTTTTTCTGTCATTTCTCTCTTTTATTTAATTTTAGCAATGCAAGTAGGTTTTTTTTAAACATGTATGTATTAAAATGACTCTGTGGCTCAGCAGTGTAGAAATAAATGTTTTTTTTTTTTTGTAAAATTGCAAAGCTGTTGAATTTATAAAACTCTGCTGTGTTTATTTCAAATCTGAGAGTATCAGCGTCTGGGATGAAGAAAAAGCTGTAGAAATGGGTGTTAAAGAACGTTTTGTGGATGAGGAATGTGTTTTGGGGTTCTGAAATTGGAAGATGGTGTGCATTTACTAGATTTATATCTAAGCGATACCTTTTCCATTCTGAACTTGAGCCGTTCAAGCTAAGAAGTCCTGTGCGATGAGATGATTTCCTGGCATCTTCCCTCTGCCATATTTAAAACATTTAAAACCTTCTGCTGCGATTGCGAATGTGGGGGTACAGCCTAGTTAAACATCTGGGCTTCATAATAAGAAGGTTGTGGGTTCAAACTTACGTCCCTTGATCTAGACACTTTACTCTAAGTGGTAATTACTTCAAAGCCTCTTTCGTAGATAATGTGTCCCAGAATTGTTTGATTTTGGTTCATTCACACTGCCAGTGGTGTGATGTGTAATGTCTCGACAGCTTTTTAAGTTTGCTTATGATCTGAGTTCAGGACCAGGGTTGAGAACCACTGCTCTTAAGTGGGCTATTCTTCCAGATAAAACCTAGTGCAAATGATCAAATTAGTATGTTACATTAGAACATATGACAATATGTTTATTTATTTATTTATTTTTTAAAACATAAAATTAAATGGGTAACTTATGCTACCATTAAATAGTTTGGGGTCTATGCTATTTTTATTATTATAATTTTTTTAATTGGTCTTGCTCACCACAACTATAAACAGCCAATATCAATGGAGCGCAGATATTATGAGTCACCATGGCAACAGCGCCAGACAAAAATATGTCTGCGAATCAATATTTTAATATTACAATATTAATATTATTTCAATACAAATATTAAATCAATATTTCTATTTATTTTACCTAATCTGTTGGGCCCAACAGATTCTGATTGTAATATCTGTCTTTTGGAGCCTCCTGTCCCAACAGAACCCCAGGCAGTTGTAAGTACTCAATACACCAAAAAGAGTATTATAAAGTTTACTCAATTAAATGCTCATCTTCACAGTAAGAAGAAACAGTTTCTGCTACCACAGAGAGTCATACAGAGGTAATGTTAATATTATGTGTGTACAATTCTACATATGATTATGTCATAGTCCAGCTCAGTTCAGTTGTCATATAATGGTGTCAATACAAGCAGATCAATAGTATTGTTGAATATTAAATGTTACATTTAATGTCCCCAACTAAGCAAGCCAAAAGCCAATGGCATCAAAGGTGGAAAACGGCGACAGTGGCAAGGAACCCAAACTCCATCAGGTGGCAAAACCTTGGGAGAACACAGGCTCAGTCTGGAGGGCAGTCCTCTGGCCAACGAACGAACAGTGTATGATGATTCATGGAGCATTATAGGTCAGAAGTCAGATTGAATTGGAACAATCAGAATATTATCCAGTTCCATCTGGTTGAAGATCAAAGTCACACCGGTATGGAGATGAGTATGTTGAGGATCAGTGCCGATGGCTGTCGTGTCGATGAGGCCTTAGGGGAGAGTCTAGTAGACACAACCTCTGCTGACACTTCAGGGATGTGTTGTGGTCTAGTCTAGGCGTATTATAAATGCTTTCTTCTCAGTTCAGTTGTTAAGCAGACTTTCAGAAATATAATCAATTGCCTTCTTAATTCTTCCTGGTTAAAGGAAAGCAAATTCTTGTGGCACATCTTACCCCACTCTCTCCTATTGGCCTGTCAAACTTTATTTCTGTTCGAATGTAAGACTTTATGTTTGTAGCAAATAGTGTTTTTAATTATTATTTGATTTTTCATGGCCCCAGGTAAATCTGTTGACGCACAGGAGTACGTTTGCCTGCTGAGATTGAGAGATGGGGATTGAGCGAGTGCTAACTGTGCGTCAGGGTGACTCAGATTGAAGACACACCCGGTACAGGCCCTGACTCCACTGATCTACAGTGGAATCCGGCAACAAAGGTTTATTCATGCAGTGCACATAATTATAATGTTGTACCAAGTATTTAAACATGCATAGTGATTCATTGATTGTTCTAGAACTTGACAATTTGCTTAACTTTCTGTGTTACTGTAGTGAGAGCTAATTTAAATCTACCCACTAGTACCCATATGTTTTTGCCAATATTGTAAACCCATACATAGCACTGGTGCACTTATTCAAATATAGGCCTGTATTCATTTCCAAAAGGCAAGTAGAATATAGGGGGACAGTTTCATGTTGTACTATTGTTGCAGATTTTATTTAGTATGTATTTATTCATTTATTTATTTATTTTAGTATTAGCTTGACACATTTTTAAAATTATGGGGTTGGTTTTTAATGTTTGTGAAATAAGTCTCATATTCTCACCAAGACTACATTTAATTGGAACAAAAATACATTAAAAACAGTAATGTTGTGAAAATATGTTTTAAATTTAAAAAGCTATTGATTAGCATCCTTACGCAGTATCCAGTGTCATGTGATCTAATATGCTGATTTGCAGCTCAAGAAACATTTATCATTAGGCTATTATTATTATTAATTTTGGAAACAACTGTGCTTCTAAATATTTTAATTCTTTGATGAAATCTAAATCTTGTGATATAAAATAATTGTTAATTAAAAATATTATTTCCTTTAAAAAACTTACCGACCGTGCACTTTTGAAGGTTATGTGCCTAAATCTGTGAGATCATGCATCTCACTCACAGGACTTTTTTTGACAGTCAATTTTTTTTTGTTGAAAATAAACTTTTTTTCTTTTCTTTTTTTTTTCTTTCGTTTCTTTTTCTTTTTCTTTTTTTTTTTTTTGCGGAGCCAAGTACAGAATTTTGCTCTTTGCAGTCTGACTGAGCTACTTTTTGGTCTGCTTTCAATGACACAGCTAGCTAGCCGTTTTCATTTGTCCAGCCTGATTACAAATAACAAAAGAAAGTAATAAATTCTGAGGGAATCTTTTGTCATGTAAATGATGGAGACGTTTGCCTCGCAAAAGAGCGGTTGCCAAAAATGTGCGTAATGCAGTCCAGGGCGTTTGCAAGTGCAAGGAAAATGTGAATTTATAAATGCATGAATGTTTGTGTGATACAATGTTTGAGCTGACTCGGAAACCGCCAATGATGCCCACAGATGTTTTCTAGGAGCTCGCTGAGTTTTTGACACTGACTGAAGCGACAGCGGTGAAGAGGTGAGTTGAATTTAAGTCATTGCTACTCGTGTTAAATATTATAAGTGTTCTGTTTAAACTGTTTGCAGCAGTTGTGTGCTTCATGGCTTCATGGGTGGTCAGGTTCCTGAGAAAAGTTTGTGACCGTTGAGGTGGAAACAATATTTGTGCTCGTGGTGGTGTAAAATGTCTAAATAAAACACATACTCAAGGGCTGAAAGATTACCGTGGTAACCACGAGTTACCTTTCTTTTACAATATTGTTTGGCTACTTCAATAAAACTGTGTTAAATTGATATTAGTCACCACTGTCGTCAGGTAAAGAAATGAAACAATGACAGTGTTTGTTTTCTTGCTGCATCCTGTGTTGCTATTTTTTTAATTATTATTTTTGGTTAGCAAGAGAGTTAAAATAGTAACAGTAAACTGTATGGTTACCATTATTTTTTTAATTTTTTATTCAAGAAATCCTGAGAGGGATGCTCTTGACCGCTAAGGAGGAGAACAATATTTATTTTGGAAGTTAGTGTCCGAAATTGGCAGAAGATTGCAGACATTATTGTCCATGTTCTAAGGGCAATATTAATATTTTATCGGTAGCCTAAATAATTTCTCTTTTCAACTGATTAATTTGTATCTTTGTGCCTCTTTCTTTTGAATGCAAAAGTGATAATATGAATTCAGAGTTCTGAATGTGAATGGAATGTTTCCTTCTGGCCATAAATTGTGCTTAATGTACTTTGATGTTTAAAAATAATAATTATCCAAGGGAAACATTCAAGCATGCGAGGAAATGCACTTGGAACTTTTCTTGATGTCCGGCAGTCAGAAATGGACAATAACAGCTAAGGTTTTCCACAGGTCATCCCTGAGGGACATCTGTACCACACACATCCCTTACTAACGTTTCACTGAGTGCCAGGCAGTCTGATTGTTACTTGGGGAAGGACACACCTTGTTTCTGACTCATTGTGTGTTTAGTGTTATGCATCTGCCCTGCGGGAATGTGGTTCCCATGATTTCTCGTTGCCATGGTTTGTCCATGTGCTTTTACTGTGTGTTTTCAGCTTGTGAATTTAGTAAGCACTAGAATGAATAATTCTCTATTTTTACTGTGTTTTCAGTTTGCGAATTTAGTAAGCATTAGAATGAATAATTCTCTATCTATCTATCTATCTATCTATCTATCTATCTATCTATCTATCTATCTATCTATCTATCTATCTATCTATCTATCTATCTATCTATCTTTTTATCGAATATTGGAAGGGAGCTTGATCATAGGAAGAACTTGAACTCACAATTTCAATTGGATGTATTATTGTTTGTATTGTTGTTTGGTTTGCAAGATTTGTGGCATTTAATAAATGACCACAAATGTTGTTGTGGTTTTTTATTAAGTTGGCTGTTATCATTTTTGAGATTTGTGTCTGTCAGTCTCTGTATATCTATCTATCTATCTATCTATCTATCTATCTATCTATCTATCTATCTATCTATCTATCTATCTATCTATCTATCTATCTATCTATCTATCTATCTATCTATCTATCTATCTATCTATCTATCTATCTATCTATCTACTGTATCTGTCTGTCTGTCTGTCTGTCTGTCCTTTCTCACTCTTTCTCTCTCTAAGCTGTTCTGGACAAGGTCACTGACCTGCTCAAGTTGTAAATGGAAAACTGTTGCTTTGTTCCCGCTGCACAGGAATGCTTGTTTTCACCACTTACACTCTCTGTCTCCCTGTTTCGAATGCTGTCCCAGTATGTTTTTTCCTCCTCTCTTGCTGTCTCACTTTCTCTTTTCCCTCTTGAATTAGGGCACATTTTTGTGGCAGTGACATTTGCAAGACTTCAAAGGCAACGCTCAGTTAGCGCCGTTGAGTTCATTTCAGTGTGTGAAGCCTATCGGATTGTTTATCGGCATAGCTACCTCCTCGGGGTTTAGTTGGTTGCTTTCAAAACTATCCTCATCGTCTTAAAGTGTAATAGGGCATGTGTTTGTGTGTGTACGACAGTATCCATGTGCAGAAATGACTGCGGCAATGATTCTTTGTACCCTGCAGGCAATATATCTGCCTGCCACTCCCTGTGTAAGGTCAGTTAGGGCAAGGTTTCTTCACTCTCTCTCTCTCTCTCTCTCTCACTCTCTCACTCTCTTTTCCTCTCCCCTCGGGGAGGAGCTCTGACCTGTCATTCTCAAGTCCACACAGGTGAGGGTGCTGCTAAAGGAATTTGCAGAGAGCAAGCTAGCAAAGGACAGAGGGAAAGGTGGAGCAAGCCGGTTACCTCATAAAGCCAGAGAAAGAAAGGAAGGGTGTTGCCTGCAACCCACCTGAACAACTTGTGTAAAAGAGGAGGGACCAGACACACACTGACTCTTAAACACAAGTCGTATCTGGAGGAATATTCAGTCGATTTTGCACAGCACAAAGTGGGATAGGAGGGGGACGTTTTCCTGCGAGCACAAGAGGATTGCCTGTTGCTTGGATTTGTGAAGACGCAGGTGGAAAACAGGTTCTTTTCCCCTTTTTCGGTTAATCATTGGACAACAGGGAGAGTATTAAGGATTTTCTTTTTGGGAACTTTGCTGTTTCTGTGTGGACTCTGGGACTTGGATTGGGAAACAACTAAGAGGTTTGTGAGATCAACAATCTTTTTGTAAAGCCTCACAGTCCTGCATATATTTTGTAAGACTTTTTTCTACTTCCCCTTTACTCTTTGCTTGCTTGTGTCTTTTTGTTTGCTGATGTTTGTCGCCGGCTATGTGAAGAAGAGAAATCTTTGAATCCGTTTGTTTTAGTTCTTTGAAGTTTGCACACTACTGTTCAGCTCTTTTTGTTCTTCATCTTCAAACTAATTCCTCATGAAGGTGTTTGTCTGTTGGTTGTTATGCATGTTTTGCAAGGCTGCACCATTCATTTTTGCAGTTTTAATGTTGTTGTCGTGCAATTGTGCCCATCAAATCACATTTGTGTCTGGGTCATGTATTGTGACCATGTTTGTTTATGGTATTATAATGTCATTATTGTTCTCAGATTAATAGAATTTGTTTTTAGCTTGGAAAAGGTTTGCTGGTTGGACAGAATGGAAGGAATGAATGACATATATCATAGTACACACACAATATCTAATATTTTTGGATTGGGTATTTCTGGGTTATGTTGTTTTTTTCTGTGTATCACTAAGCTTGATTTATCTGCCCATTTGTGAGGTTAACACAGCACCGATCAGGTTCACAATAGCATGTTAAGGTCTGTTTAGGTCTCAGGCACAGTGATATTTATATGAGATTGAGTTTTCTCTCATCCTGGAGTGAAATTCCAGCAATGTTGGTCAAAATATGAACTCGGAGCAAATATACGTGAATGTAAAGTTTTTTTTGTTGTAAAAAAACAATTTTTTTTTTATTTTAAACCCAAAACTTTCAATTTAACATAATTCAAAAGTGAAAACATGTCATTAAATAACATTTAATCATGCTCCCTGACTTAAATAGTTATCTAATAGTTAGACTTTAGTTAGACTTAGTCAGACTAAGACTTTAATAGTTGGTATTTTTCGTACCAATGGAGATATTAAACTTGAAGAACCACCTTGATGTTTTTTGCAGGTCTACAGGCAACATGTTTCACTAAATTCACCACATTTAGAGAGAGCATGCATCACAGAATGAGCACACAGGTGTTTAGACGTGTTCAAGAACACCTAGAGAAAAACAGTAAAATGTGACGCAACGTCTGTCTGATGCACACAGTATGTGCGTTGGCGGCATGCAATTAAGTGTCCCGTTTCTCCCCCTTAATTAGACTTTATTCAGCAAATATTGATATTATACATATCAGTATCAATTAGGGCTGTCAAACGATTAATCACGATTAGTCGCATCCAAAATAAAAGTTTGTGTTTACATAATATATGTGGGTGCTCTGTGTATAATAATTTTAAATATATATAAATACACACACATGCTTGTATAGATTTAGGAAATATTTTCAAGTATACACTGTATATAGATTTATATATAATTTATATTATATGTAAATATAAATATTTCATATATAAATAATATTTTTTTCTTAAATATACATGCATGTGTGTGTATTTATATATACAAAATAATTATACACAGTGCACCCACATATATTATGTAAACACTTTCTTTTATTTTGGTTGCGATTAATCGTGTTTAATCGTTTGACAGCCCGAGTATCAATATAAAGTAATTGGAAAGAAAATTAATTGAATGTCCAAACGCTCATTTATTATCTTTTCATTGTAGAAAATGAAAATAAACGACCAAAATGTAATGCACAAATATAAAAAGTTGTTCTCAAACATTCCGCTGTCTTACTTTTCCTTGGATTGTGTGTCCATCTGTAGAGGATATGAGTGGAATTCCTGAGGAATCATTGGTCTGTTTCTCCTCTTGACTGTCAGAGTTCAGATTTATGGGGGGGTGAAATGGGCTCAACTTTCATTTGATGTTTTCAGGGAGAAAGGTAGCGGGTGAAAAGCGAGGGAAAGTGATATCAGCAGGTGGATCAGATTTCTGCTGCTGTTTTAGTGATTTAAGCCCCGGCGTGACATCTGAAGTGCATGCTATTCCTCTTTCTGTAGATAAGATATGGACAGCGGCCTGTAAAAAGTCTCTAAAAGTCTAATGGATACACATATATATGGTGTAGATTTAAAGTAATTGCACACTGCAGTGTGTCATGTTTGTTTTTATGGTGTTTATCAAGGCACATGTCTTGCATGCATCGAATTTTTCAGTTCACTTACGATCAGTTCTGGTGTGTATCTCCATGTGTGTGGTGTTTATGTGTGACATCTGCTCACCATGTTTAACTTTATGTAATATGTACGATCTCGCTATTGTTTCATTTGTGTTTCAGACTGAAATGGGAGGATGGGCTCGGCGTCTCGCTGTGGGGATCTACATTCTCATGCTTGCTGTGACAGTCAGTCGTGCTAATGAGGGTGGGAACATCAACTCTTAAATCCCTTAAACCTCAAATCTCAATTAAAAACACTTTTACTTAGGAAGCTATTCCAAGTCAGTTAAAAACACCAGATTACTTTCTGTTCACTGGAATCAGTAATGACAACATATATTACACTGGATAAGAAAAGGTCAACCCACATTTTGCAGAATTTTCAAGCAAAAGAAAAAGTTTATTAGTTTGGTTAAATGATGAGACAATAGATGTACTTGGCGACTTTTTGGTTTCAGTAGAACATCTCATAAGACTTCATACGAAATGAAATTCAGAAGTGTTACCCAAATGTATACAGTAATGCTAAGAAGACCATAATTACTGAGTTTAGAACATTTAAAACCAAATTTGAAGAATTATCTTTGTTATATGCAAAAAAATATGCTTTTTTTGTTACATAGTGAACCACTGTACCGCTGCCAGGACCAAAACCTGCTCGGAATGTATTCAGATCGGCACAGGATGTGCATACTGCCCTGATGAGGTGACAATTCAATGATCCTTATATGCTGTGGAATGATGTTAATACTCATGTTTTCCTAATAAATACTCATTAAATATTATGACATATTAATCCAGAGATCAGGTCTGAAGAATAGTTTTAGCTAAACTAAAATGTGAACCATTACAAAATGATTATAAATATCCAAAACCTCAATTTCACAATTCAATCGAATGACATACAACAATCTTATTCAATTGTGATTTGAGGGAGCAGTTCTTCTCCAATTAGTTTTAATACAATTTAAAATCTTAGAAGAAGTCTCTTATGTGCACTAAGGCTACATGTATTTGATAAAGATACAATATTGTGAAATATTATTACAATTTAAAAATAAGTTTTCTAATTTGATATATTTTAAAATGTAATGTATTCCTGTGAATTTTCAGCATTATTACTCCAGTCTTCAGTGTCACATGATCTTAGAAGATTTCTTCTAATTTCAGTTATGATGACATACGTGAAATTGATTGGCTGAGAATGTTACATTGAACAAACCAATCAGAATGTGAATAGTTTCATGGCTGAACTATTCATTTTTGTGGAAACCATGATGCAGGTTTAAGCATTCTTTAATGAATAGAAAGTTAAAAAAAAAATTTTTAAATAGAAATCTTTTGTAACATTATGAATATTTTTACTGACACTTTTGATCAGATTAATGTGGCATTGCCGAATAAAAGTATTAATTTCTTTAAAAAAAAAAAAATCGTACTGACCTCAAACTTTTGAACAGTAGTGTATTTTTTTTGGCAGTAAACACCGTAACAATCTGTTTAGTTATTTGTCTGTTTATAAAGCTTATTGTAGCTCTCTGTATGAACAGTCATGTAAATGCTTTTATTTGTATCTTATTTTTTTTCATCAGATCTTTGAGTACGAGCGTTGTGACCTGAAGGAAAACTTGATGGCCCGTAAATGTAGTCGGATGGTAACAGTTGAGAGCTCCAGGAAAATTGAAAAGGTTTGTTTCATCAGACTCTACTGACCTGTCCCTCACTTTAGGTATAAATCCATATCATGGAATCATGTGTGTTTACGCATTCATGTGTCTTTGTGTGTTTTTCAGAACGAGCAAATCGATGAGTTAAAACCGCACTCTCAGGTGTCCCCTCAGCAAATGCGCATGACGCTTCTCCCCGGGGAGGAGAAGGAGGTGGAGATGGAAGTGTTTGAACCGGCCCGTGGCCCTCTGGACCTCTACATCCTCATGGACTTCTCCAACTCTATGTCTGACGATCTGGACAACCTGAAGAGAATGGGAGATAAGCTGGGTGAGTGAGGAAGGTGGAGTCATATATTAAAATGGATTATATTGTTAACACATTTTAACAATACTTTTTACATTTTTCACTTGATTTGCTCAACAATGACTGTTAGTTGAAATGATGCTTCCTCTGATTGAAAAAAAAGCACATTTCAGAGCAAATCATTCAATCAATTTGCTCTGAAATGGTTTAAAATGTGTTTTTATTACAAAAAATCCACACATATATAGTATTTATAATATTTCATGCATCACAACTTAACTATATTGCTATGTGTGAATGCATGAACTCTGAATAAAGTAATGAATACTTAATACTAAACTTTTTTGCATTTACATTTTTGACTTTAGCTGTTTTTTTTTTTATCTTGTGCCATCAGTATTGTGTTATTTAAATAGTGGGTCAAGTTAAAAGCAGTTCAACTCCCCTATTTGAATCTGTTGTTTCATTGCACTTTGTCTTATTTTTTTTGAACTAATATTCCTGGAGCAACCTATGATTGGGTGTACAATATTGTTCATTTTCACAATGTTTTGATATTCATTCATTTTCTCACCCCATGCAGCTGAGCTTGTTGGCCATATCTCTGATGATTACACCATCGGATTTGGCAAGTTTGTGGACAAAGTCACCGAGCCTCAGACAGACATGAGGCCAGCCAAGTAAGAACAATACACTGTTACAGCACCACACAGTTTAACTTTATGTATTTATGAACTTTATGACCTTATATATGTTTTCCATAGATTAAAAGAGCCGTGGGACAACAGTGACCCTCCGTTTTCATTCCGTAACGTCATCAGACTCACCAGCAACATCACCTTCTTCAGACAGCAGCTCCAGGGAGAGCGCATATCTGGCAACCTGGATGCCCCTGAGGGGGGTTTTGATGCCATCTTACAGGCCGCTGTCTGCCAGGTACTGACATGTTGGTAGATGGAAGTGGAAAATATACCTTGCATGTCATTTACAGTACACTAAATGAATTGCTTACTTCTTACTGGTAGAGTATAACTCATTTCTTTTTGTTCACAGCAACAGATCGGCTGGAGGCAACACAGCACCCACTTGCTTGTCTTCTCCACTGAATCGGCTTTCCATTATGAGGCAGACGGTGTCAACGTGCTTGCGGGCATCTTGGACCGTAACGATGAGCAATGCCATCTGACTTCAGATGGAAAGTATACGCATGACGTTATTCAAGACTACCCATCTATACCGACCCTAGTGCGACTTCTGGTGAAACATAACGTCATCCCAATCTTCGCCATTACCAACCATTCCTACTCATACTATGAGGTGTGTATACCTTAAAAAACAAAAGATATAAGTGCATCTCATCTCCATTTAAAAGTTCTCAGTAACCACAATATGAATAAAGATTAGATTGAAAATGTGATATAGCCCTTTTTGTTAAACAAGTGTTACGCTTTCCTTTGTATGCCATGAATGTAGAAACTGTATGAATACTTCCCTATTGCTGAGCTGGGACAGTTACAAGAAGATTCCTCCAACATCCTAACCATTTTAGAAAATGCTTTTGAGGTAAATACATTTTCATACCAAATATGTTTCTGGGATTTCTTTTCAAATTTGATGTAACTTTCCATCATTTTTTTTGACAGAATATTCGTTCCAAGATCAGTATCCGTGCGGAGGACAGACCAAAGGCGGTGGAAGCCAAGATTCTGTCTCAGTCTGGCACTTCATCTGAATATGGCAGTTTCAAAATCACACCAGGACAAATTGTGAGTGTCTTTGCATTAGGTTTAAATGCACAACAACAACAACTGTAGTCTCACAACATAGTCTGTCTGTCTGTCTGTTTATTTTTACATATTTTTTATTGAATTAATTAATGTAATTTATTACATATCCAACAGTAAATAAGAGTCATGATGGTTGTCACTGTAATTTTATAAACACACTGTTAAGATCCTTTAAAATATGAAAACCTGGTTGTAAAGACGCTGATTCAGATGTCTCTCTGTTTCTAGGGTAAATTTAAAGTCAATTTAAAGGCTCTTAATAAGGTGGGAGAGGATCATGTGTGTAAGGCCAAACAGGAAGACCGGGCAGGAACCTTGAGGGTCAAACCCACCACTTTTAGCTCCGCACTTAGCATCAAGGCTGAAGTGCTCTGTGAGACATGTGACTGCGAAAATGTGAGGTTTGCTATTTCTTTAAAACATCTTGTTCTGTGTGTTTATTTCAAATCTTACACCTCCGTTTCTACTTAAACATCAGACCCCGGTTAAAAATGCCTTGCGCTGTAATGGCCATGGTGATCTTGTCTGTGGGAAATGCCAGTGTTCTGAAGGATGGTATGATGGAAATTTATCTACTTTGATATTTTTGGCTTGTGTCGATCACAAAAGTAGCAGTCCATAACTCCGCCTCTTGTCTATGCTCCGCCCCTCATAGGTTAGGCCCTTTCTGCAACTGTTCAATGGGGGCCTCCACAGACTCTGCCATGTGCATCCAACCTGGGAAGAGCGAGCCGTGCTCGGGCAGAGGAGACTGCATGTGTGGGACCTGTGTGTGCTATAACCCAAACCAGTTTGAAGGGCCCTTCTGCCAGTTTGACAAATCTCAGTGTCAGAGATTTGGTGGATTTCTCTGTAATGGTTAGTAAAAAGATTATCTAGGCCTGCCGACTAAAGATTTTTCTAGTCAACTAGTAGTCGCTCATTTAAGCCATTAGTCGACTAATCGCACATTTATATTCATTTAATTACTTACTAAAATACTAAACCATAATGAGCTTTTAAAGGAATAGTTCACTTAAAAATGAAAATTCCAACCTGTATTAATTTCTTTCTTTTGCTGTACACAAAAGAAGATATTTTGAAGAATGTCGCTAACCAAACAGTTGATGGACCCCATTGACTTCAATAGTATTTTTTTTCCTACTATGGAAGTCAATTGGGAAAACAGGAAATGCAGTCATTTGAAAATGTTGTACGTGCTTTGACATGTTGCCATAGTTCATCGCTTTGAGGTTTGTGACCTTTCACCTTTGTTTTCCACAACAGAACGTGGAAGCTGCAGTATGGGCCAATGTGTGTGTACACCAGGCTGGTCTGGAGATGCCTGTGAATGTCCCATCAGCAATGACTCATGCCTGGACAGCAGAGGGGTAAAACTCACAAAAAGTTACTAAGCAAGTACACTATCGTTCAAAAGTTTGGGTTCAGTAACTTTTTTTTTTTTTTAATTCTCCAAGGAGGTCTTATAATTTATCAAAAGTGACAGTATAGATATTTATAATATTTCAATAGATTTTTTTTTATTTCAAATATATACAGTTCTATTCATCAAAGAATACAGAAGCAGCTTTGGTGAGCATAAGAGCCTTCTTTAAAATCTTACTGACCCCAAGCTTTTGACTGGTAGTGTAAATAAACTTATTAAATACTATTTTAAAGGAGTAGTTCACTTTTAAAAAAACGTTGTCCAAAAGATGTCCATGTCTTTCTTTCGAAAAGAAATTAAGGTTTTTGATGAAAACATTCCAGGATTTTTCTCCATATAATGGACTTCAATGGGGTCCAAACGGTTCAAGGTCCAAATTAGAGTTTCAGTGCAAACTGCAAACTGTTCAAAGGGCTTTAAACGATTCCAGACGATGAATAAGGGTCTTATCAAGCGAAACGCTCATTAAAAAAAAAAAGTACAAAGTTTAACTGTTTGGTTCCCATTGAAGTCCAATATGTGGAGAAAAATCCTGAAATGTTTTCATCAAAAACCTTAATTACTTTTCAACTGAAGAAAGAATGACATAGATATCTTGGATGACATGGGGGTGAGTAAATTATTAGCAAAAGTTTTTTTTTAAAAAGTGAACTACTCCTTTAAGTCTCACCAATATTTAATGCTGTACAAAGTCAGTGATATTTGTCAATATTCATATTTATTTTTTTAAATATTAAATACAGTTCACTTTGGATTATTGGTCTCTGACTGGTCAATCTCAACATTCTGTGGTGAAATATTTAAGTATATTTAAGAATGAATTTATTAATTTTACTGTTATGTCCTTTTAATGTCTCTCATATCACTTTGTAGCCTCTTTCTTCTCAAGTAATAATAATATTGCAATTCATATAATTATTTCATTTCCATTATATATAAAACTGAAAGGGCATAATAGTCTTGTACAGTACCCTACAAATTAAAATATTAAAATGTATTATATCAATAAGACTTTTAAAATGTAGTAACTATTTTATTTAATTGGCCAAAAACATTATGCTGATAGATAGCATTTATTAACCACTTCAACATTGAAAATGTTTGATTTTCACAATCTGTTCTCTCTGAATCTTAGTATAGTTGAGCAAAACCTATTTGTCACTGGACTGATCATTGTCTAAGAGACCTTATTTTGCTCATAACTTGCTATTGAGAAATATGAAGTTACAGTGTTTTGCCTTTGTAAGGGTGAAGGCAAACTAGATGATCATGACGGTGTTTCATGTACCAAAATATCAAAGGTGTTCCAGGTAAAACACAGCTCTGTGTATATAAATAGTTATTCTCTTTTGTAGGGCATCTGCAATGACCGTGGTGTGTGTAAATGTGGTCGTTGTGAGTGTGAACACTCTGGACTTCCACTGAGCCCCACTTGTGAAGCAAACTTCCAGGTACAACTGTGATCTCTGTCAATGTGTGTCTGTATTCCTTTTCTTTGCATGTTAACAAGCACTATTAGTTAACAAATGTCATGGTACCAACCCTCTCTCATAATGTAGCAACAATTGGGCATGTGTGAAGCCAAGAGGAGCTGCGTTCAGTGCCAAGCCTGGAACACTGGTGAGAGAAAAGGACGGAAATGCGATGAGTGCCCCTTTAAAGTCATTATGGTGGAAGAGCTTCAAGAAGGTAAGGTGTTAGATCTTTCCGTTTATATTAAGACATAGCTATACTCTTAGATTCGTTTATGGCTGGATGAAGAAATTAAGGATTGATTTATTTGTGTACACAGATAAAAACGTGATAGAGACGTGCAGTTTTCGTGATGAAGATGACGACTGCACGTATCACTACACTGTGAATTATCCATCAAACAACACAGACAAAGAACACAGAGTCCTTGTGAAGAAAAAGAAAGGTGAAAAAACACCTAAATCTCCTTTTTTTAATACAGTGTTTTTCCATTTGGGTGGCCTGTAGGTAAATGTAAAATGGGATTTTGATGAGCATCTCTACTATTTCATATTAAATAAAGCTCTGTTTTGTAGTTATGTACCTACTACTGAACAAGAGTGTTTAAAGTCATACATGTCAGAGTTAAACTAACTGATTTGTTTTTCCATGTGTCAGACTGTCCACCTGCAGGTTTCCTGTGGTTGATTCCTCTCATTATGTTTCTGATGCTATTGCTTGGTTTGCTTTTGCTCTGCTGCTGGAAATACTGCTCCTGCTGTCAGGTAGCTGCGCACACATACACAAACACACAAAGAATATTTACCACTTAACTGTCACCGTCCCACAGGTGGGACGCTTGCCATTATATTTTTAAAACAATCATATCTTAGAAAAGACCTTAAGTAATATTGACAAACTATATATCATTGGAAAGCTTACAATCTCTAGTTTCTATATTTGGTGACTGATTTTCAAAATAATTTACACAGGAGATGTAATTTATCAATTTGCAACAAGAATATTTTCATACTCATAAACCGTGTTCAGACCTTTATTTTGAAATAGCAAAAAAAAAGTTAGAAACCTCAGTTTGATTTCGTGCCAAGAGTTCAAAAGATAGCATGCATTCAATTATTTTAGAAAAAAAGGTCTGAAAATGTTTTAAATATTATGAAAAAAAATAATAGATTCACCATTTCTGTTATGGCAATAAGCTATAACGCGCATGCGTGTTCTTTGTATGTGATTCAAAGAATGTGATCTATGTGTATGTGAGTTTGCCTTCACTCACAAAACTTTTGTGATGGAAATAATATGACATTAAAAGGGAAAACTATTTTGCGAGTGAATGCAAAAGGGCTCCGTACACAAGTCCCCAAAAGCAGGTTTCGTCAGATTGGGGTGATTAGCCAACTTGTGGGTGTTTTTTTGTAATCATGGCTAAGTAGATCCAAATGCACATTCACATACTCAAAATACACACACACACACACACACACACACACAAAACATGGAAAAAAAACTGAAACCATGACCTAAGCAGGCACAAATGACAAGTTTCCAGTGTTAAATTATTTTCTTTTCCTAGTAAAAGTAAAAACTCCGACCAATAAGAATGTTTTATGTGTACCGGTAATATACAATTAAGTGGAGCAGGACTGCCAATCAGTGAGATTTGACTAGAGGCAATGGTATACAGCATGATATAAAAAACAATAAAATGCCTTGTTGTTTGCTTAAGTTGCTATATTACACATCAATAATGTGCTGGCAAATATGTTGGCTTTGATCCTGTTGTGTTGAAACCAAACAAGTTATTTGCTGTTTAAAATCTATGATGGAACTGGTTAGGACATGTATAGTGATGTTACTGTATATCTCAATTAATTCACGCTTGGGTTTCTCTCCAACAGGCGTGTCTTGCTCTTCTCCCATGCTGTGGCAGAGGTAATCATTCTGTTACACTTAAGTTACATTAAGGAAATATCAGTGGAAACAGATATGCTCTATTGTTCTCAATGTGTGTGCGATTGGCAGGTCGGACGGTGGGATTCAAAGAAGACCACTATATGCTACGTCAGTCTTTGTTGACCTCTGATCATTTGGATACCCCAATGGTGCGCAACGGCCCACCCAAGAGCACAGACATCGTGCGCTGGAAAGTGACGGATAATGTTCATCGAGGACCAAACCACCCCCAGAACCAAATCAAACCCAACCCCAATGAAACCAGTGAGTCTAAACTGTGTGACCTGGGTCCAAAAATGTAAATTCTTGTCATTCCAAACCTGTATAACTTGCTTTCTTATGTGGAACTCGAAAGAAGATATTTTGAAGAATGTTGCAACTGTTTTTGTCTATGCATTGAAAGTCAATGGGGTCCAAAAACAACAGTGGACTCATTGATGTTTTTTTCTTTCAAAATATTGAAAGAATTTCCTGTGTTCCACTAAAGAAAGAAACTCATACAGGTTTGGGATTACATGAGGTTGAGTAAATGATGGTTGAATTTTAATTTTTAGGTGAAAAAATGCTAACATGTAAAACCACAGGCATTTTTCATGTTGTTTTTTAGCTCATATTCATATTCTTTCATCCCTCTCTATTCTCTGTCATAGTCCAGTACCCTGTCTCTCTTCGTCTAAACCGTCAATATTCAGAAACTCTTTCCCAGCTTGAGGCTCGGGACACAGATGTGCTCAGACGAGAAGTAGAGGACAACGTGAGTGCTTATGAATGTGTGATGATTCCTAAAAAACAACAACCAAGAAGCAACTTCTCGCACATGAACGGTCATGCCTGAATGCGAATGTCTCTGTGTTCTTCATAAACAGCTCAATGACGTGTTCCTGCAGATCCCTGGCGCACAGAGAGTGCAAAAGACTCGTTTCAGGTTAGGAGTAGCTCTCAATGACTCATAAAATTCTGCGCCTTGTGGGCAAATGTTTCTAAAATATTGGGCGAGTCTCTGATTTCGACGTGTTTGAATGTACTGAATGTTTTACTGCTTTTCTATTCCCCAGGACACAAAGAAATTCTGGAAAAAGGTACAGTAGCTACAGTATATTACATTAATGAAATACTGTATGTTGATTTAAGTCTATTGAGAGTTTATTGATTAGGACGAATCTCACAAATTCATTTGTAATTTTAAATTTGGGGTTTATTCACACCACGAATCAAATGGGGAAATTATTGTTCTTTTTTTAATAAAAACAATTATATTAAAATAAAAACCATTATTTTTATTTTCTCCATTTAGAGAACCATTAATTTCTCATGAAAAAAAAAATATTATAACATTTTACATCATGATTAAATTTATTCCATTAAGCATTACTCATCAAGTAAATTACCATGGACATGAACTAACAGTGAAAAGTAAACAGGATTAATTTGAAAGCATTACCAAGGCTTTGCAATCCATGTGCAATTTTTTTTTTCTTTTCTTTTTGGGGTAAAATATAACCTGAATATTTCTTGAGATTTACTGATTGGTACAGGGAAACTTTAAGATTGACAGTAATAATTCTCATTTTAATCCACAGGCAGAACAACACAATTGTGGACACAGTTTTAACTGCCCCTCGGGCCAGTTACCCAGATATTGTGAAATTGACCGAAAAACAGGTTCAGTCTGGAAACTTCCGAGATCTGAAGGTCGTTCCAGGCTACTACACCGTAGCTACTGACAGAGGTACAAACTTTGCACAACACGCTTACTTTTCCCAAACACATTTTGCTTGCACTGCAAAAACAAAAATTCTTACATGGTATTTTTGTCCAAATATCCCCCCAAAAAAATAATTCAAGGTGCATTTACTAGATATGTAAAATGGCATAAGATACTCTCCTGGTTTCACAGACAAGTCTTAAAATAGTCCCAGACTAAAATGCATGTTTGAGCTGTTTTAACTGAAAGCAACTTACACTGACATATCTTAAAATACGTCAGCGGCATTGTTTTATCTTAAGTAGCACACCAGTAATGTTTTTTTTTTTTTTTTTAGGCACATTCATTAAAGCTACTTAAATGCCCTAAGGCTTAATGCTGGTGTAATCTAAGCCCTGTCTGTGAAACCGGCCATTATGTCTTGTTTTCAGAGAACAAAAACAAAATTAATTGAGTTTTTGCTTAAAACAAGGTAAATTATCTGCTATTTGGGTTAAGAAATCTAATCTTAATTCAAACAGAAACAAAATTATTTTTCTTACCCCATTGGCAGATAATTTTGCTTGTTTTAGGCAAAAACTCTTTTTCTTCAGAAAACAAAATGTATCTTGATTTAAGAATTTTTAGATATTTGAACTGCAAAGAAGACAAAACTACTAAGTAAGAAAAGCATTTTTTGCAGTTTGGTTGCATTCTGTTGTTTTTATTTTGTTAAATTTCAAGTTTGTTGTGTAAATTAAAAATGTTCTGATTCCACGTCCTCTTCTCCTCTGTAGAAGCGGCAGGTGCTGTGGAGTTTCAGGAGGGCGTGGAGTCGGTGGATGTCCGGGTTCCCCTGTTCGTCAAAGATGAGGATGATGAAAAGAAGGAGCTGCTCGTGCAAGCAGTTGATGTTCCATTTGGAATTGCAAAGATTGGCAAAGATCATGTCAACATTACAGTGATTAAAGAACATGGTAGGAAGTTTTACAAGTAAAGAAGTATTTTTGTCTTAAATCATCCTTAAAACAACATAACTTTTTCTTGAGAAGCAAAATTGCGGAAGATAATGAGACAAAGAATTTTCAAAGAATGCATCTAAAATTAAATTAAAGGGACACTCCACTCATTTTTTATAAGATTAGAAATCCAGTCATACTATTGAATGGTCGTGCAACACTCTCTCATTTTCCCCTGAGACGAGAGAAATCCGCTATTTACCTTTTTCACTTCCTCCTACAATGATGCAAAAATCATAATTTTACGTCATTGTAGGAGGAAGTGTAAGAGGGGGACATTTTTCTGTAAAGACTACAAGCACTAGTTCCCACCCTTTCAAAACCACCCATAGGGGGTTGGACCTAATGCACTAACTAACAGACCTATCACAGATCAGTGCCAATGCGTTCGATTTCACCGGCAGAAACTTTTTGAAAATATGGACGAAGGTACTGAATACGCAGACGGATGCATTATGTATAGGGTTGGGTACCGATTTCCAGGCGGTAACGTAGAGTGGAGCTCAACTCTAGTCTACATTGATGGGCGGAGTAGTGGGAGTGGCCTGCGGAGCTGAGCATTGCAATGCACTATGGGGATTGTTGTCTACAATCCACAAGCACTAAAAAGACATTTTCTGCCTTTTATCGGCCAAGAAGGACCAAAATGAGAAATTTATGACACTATTCTACTACAAATAATGACCCACTTTCAATATATTCATTTCTCCACCGGTGGAATTACCCTTTAAGTTAATTTACATATATTTGTTTTAACCATAAATCTAGCAAAATTTTGTGATGCATGATCAAACATTTTGATTTTTGTTTTTTATTGTCTGTTTATTTGTTATGCTATAGCTAGGAGCATCTTTACCTTCCTGCAGCCATCATACACATACAGTCGCCAGGAAGGTGTGGCGAACATCCCGATCAGTCGTGAGATTATAGAGGATGGACGGACACAGGTCACATACTGCACCCGTGACCTCACTGCCAAAGACAAGAAGGTAAAATACACTAACTTTACATCTTGAGTTTCATCATTATAGTTTGTATTGATCATTTTTGGACCCTATTGGAATTGCTTCATTTATTATTTAACTATATAAGACCACATGTAATTCTTGAATTGATATCATGATAGTAATTATCATTGTTTGATTGTGGTAATGTTTTCTTGCTAATTTGAACCTCTCTTCACAGGACTATATCTCAGTCGATGGAGATATGAGTTATGGACCAGGGGAAACGCAGAAGATCGTCCCAGTGAAACTCTTGGAGCTTGGGGAAGGAGACGGACTGCTGGAGGACAAACAGGTCAAACAGTTTGTGCTGGATCTGAGTAACCCACGGCAAGGGGCTAAACTAGGCCGTTACCCACGAACCACCATCACCATCGCTGATAAACCAGGTACATATCAGGTTTACAGATCTTAAAGTATAATTTGTTGATATTCCCTAACCTAAATGTGAATTGTCCCCACAGAACCCAGTGTCGTAATGTTTAAGAAGAGTACTCAAACGTACAATACAGCCGATCCTCTATACTCCATCCCTGTGGTACGCAATCGAAACCAGGAGGGTCCGACCACTGTTTACTGGCGCACAAAGAAAGCCTCTCGTTTTGACCTTTCCAGTCCTCTCAAATTTGCTCCTGGCGAGATGGAAAAGAATGTTGTCATTGATCCTCGTGCGTATCCTTCTCCAATCATACCTGAGACCTTCCAACTGGAACTATTCGACCCAAGCAACAGTGCAGTCATTGGAGAGAGGAAGACTACGCTGGTGAACGTCACCGATGGTAGAGGTGAGAAAACAGGGGTCCATGTTTGCAACCATTTGTAAGTGCAAAAATACTCGTTGTTTTATTTACCTTTTATGAATGGCACATAATGTTTGCGTGATGTGATTTCAGGGGATGGGAAAATCCAGGATTTCCAAAAAATGGAATTTGTTAATCAGACAGCCACGTCTCCTGGAGGACGCCTCTACTCCCCAACCAACATCAAAGCTGTCCCTACCGGGCCTAAAAACATCCGTCTGAACTGGAACCCCTGTACAAACGCCAGTGGTTACAAGGTAGGTCATGCAACATGATATCTGCCATAACATTGTATCAGTTTTTGTATTATTTACCATGCATAATCTGTGTTCCTCTGTAAAGTTTAATAAATAAAAAAAATGAAAACTACTCGTAAACGAAGACGCCCAGTTAAGCAACAGCCGTTATTCAAAACATCTGTTTCAGACCACTAATCCTGTTACTGATTAGATACAGTTTAAATGTGCGACAGCTTTGGTATTTACACAGCATTAACCAATATGAGATTTTGTTTACTTAATTTGATGTGGCAAAAGCCAAGAATGTGACAATAAAGAAGCAGGAGAACATTAAATAATATGACTGTATTTTTTCATTTATAGTTTATGAAATAAATATAATTGTTCTGCTTTTGATTGTGCTATTGTATAGACATTGAAATACGGGGATGGTATATAAAACAGTGATTATTATAAATGAATTAAAGTTTGGTTTCTTATGTAATATTTCATTATAACTCTTTTCTGTTTTAATACATTTTAAAATTGTAATTTATTCCTGTGATGGCAAAGCTGAATTTTCAGCATCTAAAATCATTCTAATATCCTGATTGGGTGCTCACCAAACATTTTTTATTATTACCAATGTAGAAAACAGTTATCATTATTTATAGCTAACCATAATCCATATAGATAACCATAATCATTATTTTCAGGATTCTTTGATCCTGTAGTTAGTATTTCAATAAACACTAGCTTAGCTAGGGAGCTAGTGTTCAATATGACATTTGAGCCGTGATTTGCTCTATATCCAGGTGAAGTACTGGATATATGGAGATCCTGAGGCCGAAGCTCAAGTGCTGGATGTGAAGACTCCTCAAGCCGAGCTGACTAATCTTTACCCGTACTGCGATTATGAGATGCGTGTATGTGGCTACAATGCATTTGGAGATGGCAATTACAGCGAAATGATCCAATGCCAGACTCTGGAGGATGGTAAGTCAATCTTTTAATTTTGAATTTGTTCTAATTGTGGATTGTAATGGTCTTTTTATGTTTTTTTGGGAAGCGTGCTTTTAATATTTTTCATATTTCCTTTTTATTGCATGCCTGTTGTTGCTTTTTGAAGTTTCTGTCTCACGAATATGTCCATTGTATTATTTTACCCCTTCCAGTACCTGGTGAACCTGGTCGCTTGGCTTTCAATGTCATCAGCCCGACTGTCACTCAGGTCAGCTGGGCAGAGCCAGCAGAGACAAATGGTGTCATCACTTCATATGAGGTCATCTACATACCCATCGACGAGGACAAAAGTAAAAGTCCTAAAATACCCTTTATGGCATCTGTGTGTCAGAAGTGTGACTTTTTTGTGGTTTAATGCTTCTCTGATTGCAAATGTCTATATTTTTTTCTCTGTTCAGAGCCTTCAGGACCTTCTAAGAAGGTGATGATTGATAACGCCAAAAAGCGCATGCTGCTCATCGAGAATCTGCAGCCTTCTCAGACTTATTGTTACAAAGTACGTGCTCGCAATAAGGTGGGCTGGGGCCCATACAGAGAAGCCACAATCAACCTGGCATCACAGCCTACCAGACCCATGTCAAGTAAGCAAATCACAAAAATGGGGTGGAATCAAACTCAAGTTCAGACCAATTAGTTGTTTAATAAACCATTGTACTGACTGTGGATTGATTGTGTTTGTTATGATTTACATCAATCCTACAGTTCCCATCATTCCCGACATTCCCATTGTGGATGCAGAAGCTGGTGATGACTATGACAGCTATCTGATGTACAGTAATGAAGTTCTACGATCCCCAACGAGTAGCCAGAGGCCTAGCGTCACAGATCTGTCCGAAGGTGGGTGTCTTTTGTGATGTGGTGCACTATTGCAACACATTGGAGTCATGCCAATGTACACTACCTAAACGTTTGGGGTCTGTAAGAAAGAAATGTATACTTTTATTCATCAAGGAAACATTATATTGATAAAAGGTGACTGTAAAGCTGTTTAAAATATTAGATTTCTATTTCAAATTAATGCCGTTCTTCAAAGAATCATGAAAAACTTGTTTTGTGAGTAGGGCTGTCAAACGATTAATCGCATCCAAAATAAAAGTTTGTGTTTACATAATATATGTGGGTGCATTGTGTATAATTATTTTGTATATATAAATACACACACATGCTTGTATATATTTAAGAAATATTTTCATGTATATACTGTATATAGATTTATATATAATTTATATTATATATAAATAAATAATTTATATATAAATAATATTTTTTTCTTAAATATACATGCATGTGTGTGTATTTATATACAAAATAATTATACACAGTGCAGCCACATATATTATGTAAACACAAACTTTTATTTTGGATGCGATTAATCACGATTAATTGCGATTAATCGTTTGACAGCCCTATTAAGAAGCAAACTTTTTTTTACATTGATAGTAATAAGAAATGATTCTTGAGCACCACATCAGCATTTTAGAATGATTTCTGAAGGATCTGGATGTGACTGGAGTAATGATGCTGATAAACACTAAAATAAAAAACAGTCCTTTTAAATTGTAATAATATTTCACAATATTTCTGTTTTTAACATTTAACAAAAACATTAAAAAAATCTTAACGTCTCCAAACTTTTGAACGGTAGTGTATTTGCTCAACATCCCTTCTGAAATTACCAGGATGTATTTTCATGACGTTCAAGGATGATTTATGCTGCTGGTTTTGTTCTGGTTTAACTGGTGGACATGTGTAGCCATGGTGTTCACTAGCAAAAGTTGGTGAAGGTGGTCAAGCAGCATGGGTAAGCTGGTTGGCCTTGCAACTCTTGGTAAAGTGGACACCAGCACACTAGCATCCTAAAGCCGTGTCTACACCAGACGTGGGTGGCGTGACGTGACAAAAGCAGATGGAATCCATTATAATCAGTGATGCTGTCTACACTGAATGTGGCGTGACGCAACAGGACAAATTCCCGATACTAAACTGAGGCACTGTTCTTATTCTAACGTACTTCAAGCACTCTCGCTACTTCTGACACAAAGAACAAATAGATTTTCAATGGTTGTGTTGTCGCATCAAGTGTACTCAGGCTCAAGCTGTTGCGGCACCACACAACAGCTGTCATGTTCGGTGTAGACACGGTGTAACAATGCTTGTCTTTTCATCAGGGATAGCAGGAAATTAAAACAAGACTTTGCACACAAGTTTCCGAAACATGTCAATGCTTGTCTGTATTGCATGCCTGAACGTGTTGGTGGAATTGTTTTAAGCATTCGAAAGCTTTTTTTGTGTGCTACGTTGACCTGTAGAAGCTTTTGGTCAATAGCAGACATGGGTCCATCTTTGGCTTAACAGAATGATGTCCTTCCTTACATCATTCGTATGCAACTCCTGTTGAAATCGAAAGGCTCTTTCTAGTCCCTTTTGCATTGAAGACCCCACAAGAACTTCCTTTTGCCTTGGAACAATGTCTTTTTCTTTTCTTTTGGCTTTGTCGAACTGGGTGACTGGGCTTTTTATGGAAGTTTACCTTATTGTTTGTGCAGCCTTCAGCTGTAATGTTTGGGTTCCTTCGGCTCTCATTTGGCAAGAATGATCAGACTATTTACTTGGCCTTGCTAGTTAAGATAAACATCGCTAGCATCATGGATGGGCTCAGAAGACATCAGCTTTATCACCTTTTCTTCTTTCCTTCTTTGCCTAACTCTAGTTATTAAAGGAATAGTTCACCCAAATATGACCATTCTGTCATCAGGTTGTTAAAACTGTATGACTTTTTACTTCAGGGAGCACAGAATCTGATCTTTTCTGTAAATGGGGACACTACAAAAATGAAATAAAAACTACCATGATTATGGTTCATATGGTGCTTTGAAGCCAAATTATAGTTTTGTGTAAGATATTCACTGAACATCTTCCTATGCGCCATAACTCTTAAATCTCAATCACACTTTCAGAGGGCAAGATTCTTCAGCCAGTAATGACTTATATTTCAGTCCATTCCTCACATAAGCTATCACATGGCGTCAGATGACTTGAAATATACATTTTTATCGAAATTGTCAAAGACTTTGTCTGTATTAGATTCAGAACGATGGAGTAGATCGAGTCCATCAACACCCCCAAAGCTTTACAGTCCTATTGCTCGTCCTGGCTCGATATTTCATTCAGCAAAATTAGGCAGATTTGATTCATATTCTGGTTAATGTTGATGATCACGTTATTTTACATCTGCTTACATATGCTATCGCTTGTTTTTGCTACTTTTTCGCCGGCGTTTTGATCAGGATATTCTGTACTCTTTCAGAAGATGCGTAATAGCGCCCCCTACTGTATAACAGTGAAAACACGAAAAAGCCTGCCAATGGCAAGAGGAAAGAGTTAACTATTTTATCCTGGTTTTATGATGTTTTGTTTTATAATATTAGGCGCTTTATAGCTACATTCGGCTTTTTTATATGAAAAAGCGTAGTAGACTTAATGTTTTTCTGTTCGGGAAAGTCATACAGGTTTAGAACGAAATTAGGGTGAGTAAATAATGACAGAATTCTCATTTTTGGGGAATTAAATTGAGCACAGACAGCCCATACATCCTCTGTGCCTTGCTTGCTTCCCCACATGATTACGGAAGGCTCACGCTGGAAGCATGTCCAGCTAGTCGGTTCGGATCTGGATCTCCGTAAAGTGTCCTGGAAACTGCCTGCTGACATCATCCCCTACCTCCTGAGCCCAGCCACAGATGCCAGCGATAGTCATGCACAGACCCTGCCACAAGGTGAAGACCTGTCCCTGGCTGACAGCATGCCAGCTACACCCAACGTCAACCCACAGCTGTGCTATCAAAGTCGCTTGAGTGCCATCAAGAGCCTCAGAGTGCTAACTGGCATCATTTCTCTTGCTTAATGTAGATTGCTAATTCCATATCTACCATAGAAATAAAGTTTCTTCTGAACTGAGAGGCTTTCTGCAGTTTGGGTCTGTTGAGGTGATTCCCTCCTCTAGGCCACAGTTCAAAGCGCTAATCTGGAGCGCTAACTTCAACTGTGAAATATAATGTGCTAATGTTGCTAAGCTAATTCATGAAATCGTCGTCTTGTTCTCGTATGTCCTTACAGATCAGTTTGTAAATGGAAAGTGGGATCAGAATTTCCTGTTCCCTGGAGGAGGCAGTTCCCTCTCCCGCAACGTCAGCTCCTCCTCATCCACGTACAGCCATTCCACCCCCCGTCCCGCTGTGACCAACCATAGCAGCTCCACAACGTACATTTCTGGCAAAGGTATCAGAGTATTATATGCCCAAAGAAATAGTTTATTGGCAAAAAAATAAATAAAAAAATCTTATACTGGTCAATTTTGAGGTAATGAGCTATTTTGCTACAACATGACTTTGTTTCAGATTAGTGGAAACAAAACATCCAAAATAATGAATATTTAGATGTTTATTTTATTGCACTTTAACTATTTGTTTAAATGCAATGCAAATGCAGAAATCTCCAAAAATTGTTCTGTCAAAAATGACAGAAGAGCACCAGGGTGTTAATACATTTCATAACAATTGTCCTGAATGCACTGTGATTACTCAATTTTGGAGAGTTTGTTTATCTATTAGCTAAATTTTTTATCCTATCCACCTCTGCTTTAAAAATTAAAATTCTGTCTGTATTGGTCACCCTCATGTTGTTCCAAATGTTTATGACCTTCTTTCTTCTGTTTAACACAGCATGAGATGCCAAACATTTAAGCTGTTCTTTTAACATGCAAACACCATAGAGTGATCAGGGGCTGTTGAGCTCCAAATACACTATAAAATAAAACAATGAAAAAAGTAGTCCAAACCATTCTGAAATGCTGTGATAGCTTTGTGTGAGGAATAGGTTATATTTAAGTTGTTATTCACTGAAAATATATCCCTTTAAGTGAATATGAATGTACATTTTAGTCTGTTACTCAAACAAAGCAATAGCACAAAAGTCATTTGGACCACTTATATGGCACTTTTTTGCCATGCTTACTGCTGTCCTTCATTATGGAAAAGAGCAGAATTTAATATCCTTCAGAACTAGTATTTTTGTGTCCCATCATAGTAAGAAAGTCAAATTGGTTTGTAATGACATGTGGGTGAGTAAATGATGACAGAACGTTCCTTTTAAGTTTGTGTGAATCATTCTTTGATTCAATTCATATGCTTTTAAAACCCAAACTGTTGAATGAATTGCCTTTTATAGCTCATTTATCAATCATTTCTGTTTTTTTCTCAATCAGGGGGCTCAGCTACTACACATAGATATGATCTTAGAGATGGCGGGCTTCTCAAAGAGGAAGTGATCCTGAGGAAGCGATCGGATAACAGGCATTACACTGACAGTGATGGTGTTAGGGATTCAATCGTCATGGGAAACCTTCCTGGAGGATTTTTGGATACTTTAGGTAAAGTGAGCTTGACAGATCTGCCAGCACATACATAGTGTTAAAGCCAATCAAATTTGATATATTGCCTCGCAAGGTGCAGCTTTTGGCAAGAATCCTTGGCTGACTCTCGCTTCAACCTTGCTCTTCTTTTTCTCTTTCTTATGCCATTTGTCTGTTTTCTACACTTTTTTTTCTCTCACTGTTTTCTCGTCATGCGACGGCTGCCTGCCAACCCTTTCCCGCCACACCCTGCCGTGGCTTGGCGTTCTCTCAGGGGGCTCTAGCTTCAGTCAGAGCACAACTACCAGCTACAGCTTGAGCTCCAGAGCTCGTACTCAGTCTGAAGATATCAACGATGCACTGCTGAACCTGGATAGTGTTCTTCAGGGTGAGTGAACGTGGAACGCATCAGTGACTCGGGACTGATTGAAACCATAGCTTCTCAAGCTACAAGCTCCATTTACTCTAAAGTAGTTGAACCAAAATCAAGAAAACCTTTATATATATATATATATATGAAGAGTTCAGATGCAAAAGCCTCTAAATGCTATTTGAAATTTTCTTCTTTAATGATGATTTTTATCAAACTTGTATATTTAAGTTCAGTAATTTCACTTAAATAACAATTAATAGGTAATTATCATTGCCATTTAAGTGAAATCACTGAACTTAAATATACAAGCTTCATAAAAATTATCATTCTAGAAGAAAATTTCAAATGGCACTTAGAGGCTTTTGCATCTGAACTCTTCATATATATATATATATATATAATGTAATTATTTTTTTTACAGTAAGAACAGTATTTAATTAGCAAAAAACAATCATACAACTTTAAAAATAGATTAAACTTAATTTTACAATAAATTATAAAACTAATAAAACACCATATGTAGAGCTTGTTAAAGCTGTTAAAGCTAAAACACTTTTTATTATATTGGTTGAAACTCTCTTCACATCCTGATAGCGATCAATGATAGAAGTGGTCTAAACATTAAAATATGTACATATATCTTCTGTGGAAGTCTCGGGACCAAAAATGTTCGTCCAATCATTGCTTTCTGTGCGAATGCTATGATACCATGTCCTATGTACCTGTCAACATATGTATTTCCATACCTCCACACACCTGCTCGCCCAGACATCACACACGTTGAGAACGACAGAGTTCCACAAACAAGCAGCAGCCGTCTTTTACAATACCTCTTGAACCAAAACAAGTTTATGCTGCGTTCATGCCATAACCATAATTACCAGAAGCTGTGACACTTTTCCCTGGAGTCACGTCCTCAAGCTTGGATTTATGCATTTCTATATCAACACTATCAACGCCGAAATGATTCTGCAGGAGTCAGGTGGTAAAACTAGAACTCTGTAGTTCATTATTATTGTAATGTTATTATTGAGGTGGTTTAAAGGCATCTCTCGTGGCTCTTTTGTCTGCTCATGTGTTTTGGGGGAGGCGTGGCTTTGGAGACGCTCTGAAGGGAGGGTGGGATCTCATGCTTTCAAAGCTAGCTTGCTATTGCTAGCCACTCTGAAATTGCCTACCCTACCTTTAAACTGTCTGAATGAACTAATTCGCTAAAATAAATTCTATTGTAAAAAAACTAGCATTTTGAGAGAGTTCAAAACTATTTTATTCATTTGCGCAAAAGCATTGATCTTGTCATTGGCTAAATTATTTTGAAAACTTCTGAAAAATTTAGTCACTTTAGTAGCATCTCTGCTTTTCTTTAGTTACTCCCCAACACTGCAACAAATTAAACCCTGACACACAACTCGCGAGCAACATAGTAATTTGCAGACTGACACACCTCGCCCAATTCCCTGCTGTTTTCCCAGTGCTGAACCAATAAAACAATTTGTGGCTGCAAAATTAAATATGTCTGTTCTGTGGTTTGACATTTTACCATCTGCACTACTTGTGCCCTCAGACTCTCGCTTCAACCCGGGTGTTCCTGAGACTCCCAGCAGACTGGTGTTCTCTGCCCTGGGGCCCACGGCCCTGAAGGTGAGCTGGCAGGAGCCCCAATGTGAGAGCGGTGTACTGGGTTACTGCGTCCTCTACCAGCTGATAAATGGAGGTGATTCATCTCTTCTCCTTCATAGTTGTCATACTTGTTCAATCATAATTAAAGTTAATTCAATTATTCAATGATATACTATAATTTACCAATTTACTGCAATATGTTAATTATATATACAGTAGTCAACATGAAGTGGATCAGAACCCTTGATCAAGAATTTTGAACAAAACCCGTTCTTGTCTTTGGACAACTTTGATGAACTTTTTTGACAACACTTCAAATGTTGACTACTGTATATATATATATATATATATATATATATATATATAAAACTACTGTATATATATATATATATATATATATATATAAAACTACTCTCTATATATATATATATATATATATATATATATATAAATTAAACTACTGTCTATATATATATAAGCAAAAAAGCATCTAATTGCCATTTGAAATATTCTTCTAAAATGATCATTTTGATCAAGCTTGTATATTTAAGTTCAGTAATTTCACTTAAATGGCAATTAAGATTACCTATTAATTGTCATTTAAGTGAAATTACTGAACTTAAATATACAAGCTTGATAAAAATTATCATTCTAGAAGAAAATTTCAAACGGCACTTAGAGGCTTTTGCATCTGAACTCTTCATATATATATATATATATATATATATATATACATACACTATATTTTAAAATACATTGTAAAATAGACAAGCTAAGCAAATAATTATTTACTAAATGCTATAAATCAAAGAATAAGAAGAAGTGATGCATGTGATAACAGATGTTGTCTTTTTGATTTGTTTTACCATTGTATTGTATTGTGTTTCTCTCATAGGTGACGTAAAGCGAATTGAGGTGAATAATCCTGCTCAGAACTCTGTGGTGGTTCAGGATCTCCTACCCAACCATTCCTACATCTTCAAAGTGAAGGCCCAGAGTCGAGAGGGCTGGGGTCCTGAGAGAGAGGGAGTCATTACCATTGAGTCTACCGTCGACCCCAAGAGCCCCCTGAGCCCAATGCCAGGTGAGTTGCTTCATTTTATGTCATTTTATTTTATGGTAACTTATGTCAGCAGTAGCAGTGGCAATTATTGTGAGTAAATATTACCACGCTATTGCATGTATGTATCATTTAATTGTTCTTAAACATGTGTATGTGTGTGTGTGCTGTTGTTCAGGGTCTCCGTTCACTCTCAGCACTCCCAGCGCTCCAGGACCTCTGATCTTCACAGCTTTGAGTCCAGACACACTGCAGCTGAGCTGGGAGAAACCACGCAAACCCAATGGAGACATACTGGGCTACGTGGTCACCTGTGAACAGCTGCACGGTGGAGGTCAGACACCAACCTGACTTTATTTTTACATCATTTTATGCGACATACAAAATCTGTATAAAAGCCATCGCAACTGCACTAATCAGAAACAAGCCCTGCTCTTTAGCTTCCTTGCTAAGACTCTATCTTTGGTGTCCGTGCAGGAGATCTTCGCTCCTTCCAGGTGAATGGCAACGCTGCGACTTCTTTGACGGTGTCTGACCTGAAAGAAAACATGCCGTACAAATTCAAAGTTCAAGCCCAAACCACACAGGGCTTCGGACCGGAGCGAGAGGGCATCATCACCATTGAATCCCAAGATGGAGGTATGCGGGACATTAGGACAGTGTCACTGTTATTTCACTGTTAAATGTTTTAACAATTAATAATCATAGCCTGATTTTTATGATTCAGTCTGATATTCTGTTTTACTTGGAAATACATCCCTTTGCATTTTAAGTTGTCTTGAAGGATAATGAATGGTTGAAATTTTATCATCTCTTCTTCTTTTCTCCTCCTCCTCCTCTTCCTCAGGCGCTATGTCACAGTACAGCAGTCATTCAGTCACAAAGAGAGAGGTGTATAACCTACCAACAGAGATTACTTCACAAACCATGTTCTCTGAACCCTTCGTGTCTTCAGGTAAAGACACACGACTACATATCTTGCTGGGTTATCAAGAACCATAACAAATAATTACAGCTGTAATTACATGCAGGCGTTTTTACAATATAGGTACAATATAAAAACTTGCATGTACACAATAAGTGCACAGTATCAAATGATGAATTTACATATTTGTACATAGAAGTTACGGTCTTCATCATTTCAATTAAATCGGACACGCAGGATGTTTTATAATTAATATTTTATTTTGTTATATGTATTTTTTTTTTTTTTACAAATTTCTATACAAAGTCTGCCGATTTCTATACAATGTCAAATTTAACACTGTAATCAAAAGTTTTTAACTGTACAGTACAGCACCACAAAATGTACAAATTATTTTCAGAAAACAAAAATAAGATATTAAATTTTTATTTATTTACTCTTTGGAGTAAAATTAGACCACTCTGGGAAAAAAGTTGTACTACTATTATTAAATATTAACAAAAAAATGGGGGTTATTTTATATTGTTTAATATAAACCAACAAAGCATAATTACATAATTACGATAATTTATTTTGATAAGTAGAATATTGTTTTTCTAAAATTAGCATTTTTCTCAAACTAATTCTACTACAGTTATTATTAAATGTAACTGAACTAGAAAACTAGTTTTTTTTATATTTTATATAATTTATTAAATACACATTTCTTTAGATGGTATTTCAAACACTGATTATTAATATCATCTATTGTTTCTAGAAATGCCATATGTTTTGTGTATGATGTTGATGTAAGTTGATACAAAGTGTTTGAAAAAAGAAAATTCTAGAAAAATCTTTAATTAATTTTTACTTTTTTTTATTTTTATAAAAAGAAATTGAACACGCAAAAAAAGTTTGGGGTACTGAAAAAAATGGGAGACGAATTTCATCTTATGGAATTACTTGGTACTGCGCCCAATCAAAATCTTACTGAAAGCTCATTCTTTGAGATATCAACCTCAAATTTAGAAAACAACTTAAATATATGGCTTTGATTTCTCACAGTTTTAGAGTTAAACATGTTTGTTGGAAAATATAGATTTCATACAAAAATGTATATAAAAAAAACACTTTCTTTCATTAGTTTTTCATTTCTGCAATAATCTGCCAAGTGCTGTCTTTAAAAAGAGACCAAACTTAAGTTGCATTCAAAGATTTTTGACAGTTTAAGTTGGAAATGTTAATTTTCAGGTCAATGCTCAAAAATTGAATAAATGGATTATAACAACTGCATAAATATCATTTAGTGCCATAAAATCTGTTAAAATTAAAAACATCAAACTAAAATGTAGTTCATTTCATTGAATTAAAAAAAAATCTGTAATTTTTGCCCACCACATGGGCACACGTGTCTAATGTTTGTGTGTGTGTGTGTGTGTGTATGTGTTTTTAGACGGTATGATGTTGATGTCGAGCAGGCAGATCACGGAGTCGGGCGGCACCGTCACACGGCAGGTGGAGATGGTGCAGAGAGGAGTCGTGTCCAGCAGCACCGTCACAAAGAAGCTGGAGAGGCAGTACTTCGAAGCCTAATCCAACTTTCTTTTGCCTTCAACAGAATGTGTATATATACGCTCAAGCGAAACTAAGTTAACTAGAGAAGTTCACCGACCAATGTGCACAACACATGGTTTTTATGTGAGGATGAGAACAGCTGAGCTCTTGGATTCCTTGGATTAATGCTCATCAAGACCAAAGTCTTCAAGCTTAAATATTTAGTTGAATGTAAATACTTAAAAACCTTTTAGTGTTATCACTTCCAAACAGGTATTTGGTAAAACTTTTAGCATCAAACCATGTTTTCTACAGTGTTTGTGAGAAATGTTATTGACGTATGCACCATGGGATAGGTTATTTGAGCTTGATTGCTTTAATTTTAAAAAGGTTTGAATTTTAGCAGATTTCATATCATGATGTTGCTTTCAAGTTGTATTACATTTTTTGAGCATAGAGGTTTTCTAAATGTATTTTTCACATCAAATGTGACATGTCTTATGATTTAAGGTTTACACTTTAACTCATTATTTTCCTTCTTAATCAAATTTGACTTGTTAAGGTTAAAAGTGCATGCATATGGACTCAATTCTTAGGATTGTAAATATGTTACTGAGGTTTGTTTTTTTATTGCCTTGTTGCAAGATGTGCTGTTGCAACTTTAGGCCTGCGGCTGTATTTTAGTTTAGTACATTACTGGCAATTCAGAAAAGATTACCGACATCACACTTGTGTGCGCTTAACCCCCTCAGACCTGAATTATGTTTCAAGTTTCTGAAAAATATAAAAGTACATTTTCCCAGCTCATGAGGTTTCTATAAATTAAAACAAATGAAAAAAAAAAATTATGTAATTGCTTTCATTGTGATTTTTTTTGTCCATTCCAATGGACATCAGGTCAAAACAGGTGTACTTCCCAAAAATGTACCAACATGAAATAAATTAATAAACATAAAATTTGTTGGTCTATACTTTAAGCTTTTTCTCAAGGTCAAAAAAATTGCAAAAGGCAGTTCCGCAAAGGCCCCCTCGGTGGAGCCACCCTCGAAACGTCCCACGAACCCACTATTCGTCCAACCGACCACCGCTTCCACAGGGCGTCCAGCGCCCCTTTCGGCGATTGGCAATCTATTGAATGGGGATTCGGGTAGTGTTTTTGATAGACATTTTAATTAAAGTTCCTGTCGCGAAAAAAAAAAAAACTATTTTACTGCACTCAGGAGGCCCCGTAGCACCCTCTGATCTTCTTGAAACTTTGGATTCTGATAGAGGGCCATGGGACTTATAGTGCAAAAATGGAGTCTCTAGACCCTTCCAGAGCTGATATTGAGATATTTATAATGGCATAAACGCTACGTGGGATCTCCATCTTCCTCATTACTCCACATAAAGTCAACATCAGAGGCGTTGCCATGGTGATGAGCTGGCCCAAAGTTAACTTCCGTTCTGTTTGTTTAATAGTGTTTACTGGATAATATGGCATTGACTACAAACGCAGTGAAAGTTATGGTGATGAGCAGGACAGCAGGTTGATGAGCAACCTTAGGGAGCAAACACAATTTTTTAAAATAAAAATGTTAAGATTTCCTAACAAAGGTATTAAAATAACGTTAGCTATGTTTGTCTGAGTGATATCCGGTACAGTGTTTCCCATACATTTAAATAGTGGCAGCTCACCACATCAGCGCTGACTGCCACATATTGATTTCCGTGTTTTTTACAATTTAAGATGAGAAAAGTTGTAACTATTTGACTGTGTATTTAATGGTTCATAAACAACGCTGCACAGATCATATCCATCCAACATGCTGTGAATGTGGAGACCCACCTTGAAAAAAGGTTATTAGCAAGCATGTAAGAAGCCTAGCTAATAAGGAGAGCTATGTTAACCTAATAAAACCCTGCTGCGCTCGCCACAGTTTTTTAACAGTGTGGTAAATCAGACACTTCGGTAGAAAAACATTATTGTCTCCAATTTTTGTTCAGGGTCTGGTAGTGTCACATTTCAGTTTGGCCAAGTAACATTTCTTTTCTTTGACAGGCAAGAAATTCCAGGTAATAGCCTACTAAAGGTTATTTACTTGTTATGGATTGTCCGTCGGAAGTAAAGTTTAATTAAGATTAATGCACATGCGCAGTACCGTTTGTTTATGTTGTTTGTTTGTTTTGTTTGTTTGTTTATGTTGTTACTGCTGAAAGCGTTGAAGTTACGACGTCACTCTGTAGGCCAAAACGCGGAAGTGAGTTAGCATTTTAGCACTACCGGTTCCCTCGCTCTAAAGTTTATGGGATTTTGGAATGGGTTTTTGCTAAATCGCCTGAAATAAGGTCTGTGGTGAATAGAGCCTCTAAATATTTTCACGTTTTGATCTATGACATAGAACACACAGGTATAACCTGTTTGTGGTTTTTTAAACTTTATTGTGTCTGATTGTGTTTTTTAAAATCTTTATATGGGCTTCAAATATGTAGGCTATAAATTTTTGATTAACTTGTAAAGATTATCTTGCTAGAGAAAACGTGTAAGGGTCACAACCCTTTGTTAAACACAGATCTTATTTTTTGCGATTTTCCAAAAGTCTATGGGGAAAATGCATTGCTTTTCGACCGAGGGAAGCCATGTGCCGCTAGCTTCCAAGTTATCCTACAAAGTGACGTCATCACTTCAGCACTCTATTGGTCTAACGTTACTGTACATGGGAAGGTTCTCTTTCTGAATGACCTTGTGGTTGCTGAGGGAAAAGTTTTGGTTGCGTAAAACTGTACTCTATTCTGTGTTGAGAGGAAGTTCTGATGTTTGCTTCCTTAATTCTTTGTCCGCCCTCTGTCTAAAGAATTTACAGAATTGCAAAATGTGCTTTTGCTTTCACTGTACCTTTCAGAAATACCCATTAGAGAATTAAAGCAGTTCAGTCTGCAGAGTGAGACGGAGGAGAGATGGCAGACTGTCCGGATGAAACCACCACATTATTAAGAAACAAACCAACCAAAACAAGGTGACTTTTTTGTTTTATTTCGTTGTCCTTTATTTTATATATTGTTTCGATTTTTTTTTTTTCATGTATTGTATTCATTTGATTGTTTGTACTTTTCAGACATGGAAGGCTCTACCTTGCTGTGTTTTCAGCTGTTTTGGGCAATTTCAATTTTGGATTTGCCTTAGTGTTCCCCTCCCCTGTCATCCCCCAGCTTCAAAAGGGTGATGACCCTCGGCTCCAAATGGACATCCATCAGATATCATGGTTTGGTGTAAGATCATTTATGTATATAGAAGATGTTTTACATACTGAGAATACAGAATCCTGTCTAGCTAGTTTCTCTTCTTTCGTTTAGTCAATTTTCACCATTGGAGCAGCCATAGGGGGTCTTAGTGCCATGGTGCTCAATGACCGCGTTGGGAGAAAGATGAACATCATGTTGTCTGGAGTACCATCTGCTGCAGGTCTCCTTGTGATGGGGTCCGCACAAAATTTCTGGATGTTATTATGGGGCAGATTTCTGACTGGCATCGCTGGTGGCATCACCGCTGGCTCCATTCCTGTAAGTTATCTGTTATAGTCCATTCATCGATTGATGAACACACCTTTAGTAAATCTGAAGTGCCATAGTATAATTTATTTAACTTTATTTTTGTGTTTTTTAGTAAGTGCAGTCTGATTTGAATCTGATGAGATAAAAACACTGGGTGGCAAGAAATAATACTCAGACATGAACTATTTAACATGTCTGCTGGCTTCACTCAAAAATACAGTGCAACCATTGATTCACAAATAAATTACTTTTTAATGAATCGGTTGTAGAGACTGCTTACTAATTGGATGTTTGTTTGACCACATGTTGTTAAAGGGGTCATGGAATGACAAATCAAATTTGCTTTGATCTTTTGACACATAAGACGTGTGTGTAACCAACGCATTCTCATCCCAAGGCGTCATATACGACGCTTTTGCCAAAGCGTATACATCCAACGCACATGGCACCCTTTAGCATTAATATAACACACACAGATTATGGGTAGGTTTAGGCCTTGGGTAGGGTTAGGGTTAGACCACTAGCAGGCACCTTCTGCCCCAAATATATATGCGTCTCATATTGACGCTAAAAGGGTGCCATGTGCGTTGGATGTCTATGCTTTGGCAAAAGCGTTGTATATGACGCCTTGGGATGAGAACAAACTCTAAAAGATGGAATTTTAATTAATGAAATGTCTAATGGGTCTCTGTGAGGGACCAAGCTGGCAGGCATGAGGAGTCAAAAAGTATATTTTCAAAAATATAAGTTTTTATTTCCACAACAAAAACAACAACAAAAAAAAAAAATGTAAAAAAAGAGTAAAAATTCTGAATAATGGTATGTATATATATATATATATATATATATATATATATATAATTAAATCCTCTCAATTAATCATTCTAAAAAAATGCAAAACAAATCCATAACACTTTTCTTTAAAATTTTCCTAAAAATTTCTACTAAATCAAACATTACTCTTTCCTTTTTCAAATTTTGAATCATTTCCCTACTTTTTCCCTTCCTATCTAAACAGGCCATTCTGACACAAAAGGGGGTAGAGTAGACAAATACATAATATATAAACAAACCACAATAATTACAACACATGTCAAACCAACGCTACTGTATATGAACTAAGGGTAAATCAATCAAATAAATCATAACAAAGTATAAATAGCAAAGAAAACGAACAAAACTCAAAAATGTAACACTCTGCCACCCCTATGAAATGGGAACACATGGTGCAGTCCAATTAGCCATTCCCCTATTTAAACAGCTGAGAGTCCGTTGTAAACCCTTTTGCCTGTCACTCAGCCGGAGTCGAGACCACCAACAGCAACTCCCCAGGAACTGGTAACTCAAAAAGAACAGTTATTAACTTCACAAAACATAACTTAAAGATAATGAACCTGAAGTTAGCTAAATTGACAAAGTTAACTAAATATGTGCCCCCAAACAGAAAACCAAGTCAAATAACTAATAAAACTGTATGTGTCCAGTTATTTATTTTGTACAATATGTAATGTGCTCCAAACAAATGAAAGTTACCACCGTGAGTTGAAGTTTCAGGCCCTGTTTACACCTACACGAAAACGCTCGCGGGTGAAAACGTAAAAAATATTTGATAGGATGTGCCTTTCGTTTACACGGCGACGGAGTTTTTGGGGCTTAAAAACGAAAAAAAGTGAAACCACCCTCCAGAGTGGAAATCTTGTACGCTCCTCCGCCGCGTTCCCGTGTAAAAAGGCAAAGGTCTGCTTGACCGTGAAGATTGTAAGCAGGCGCGCGGGCTTGGTGTTGTTGTAGTATGCCGAGTTCAGACTGCATGATTTTAGCCACGATTTTGGCTCGCCGACAGGTTTTGAGAAATCGCCGACAAATGCCCGAAATCACAGGCAAATCGGCGCTCGTTCACGCGAGTGACAATCACGCAGTGTGAATGAACAAAGACGCGAACTGAGAGAATCACCGACGAGTCGCCGACGCCCGTGAGATATTTGGCATGCTAAATATCTGGACCTGTCGGCGATTCAAAATCCTGCTGTGTGAAAAGTGTTTTGACTGAAAACTACATCGGCGATCACCGGCAGCCAGTGAGAGAGCAAGATACAGAGCAGCAGGGAGTTCGGGGAGGAGTTATAGATCACATATCAACATGATATGGCATTGTTTCAACAAAAAAAGCTTCTTCTCGGTCTATTTGGACACAATAAATGGAAGAAAAATTAGTAGAAATTTGGCAGGAGCACTCGTGTCTGTTTCACCAGCTGTACCACAACCGGGTCGAAAAAAAAAGTCTCACGTGAGAACTCCGGTCTTGCACGTGTGGTGTCGCGCGTTGTTTCCTTTTCATATCTCACGCGTGTTTGTTGTGAAATGTAGTTTGCGTGCAGCGTGCTAGACAGAGTCCGTCGGCGATTTTTCTAAAGTCATGCAGTGTGAAACCTTCTGTCGCCGATCCATCGTCCAGTGTGAACACAGCAGCGACTGAATGCTGGCCAAGATAGTCATGCAGTGTGAAAAGAGCAGCGACCTGACTACTTTGAAAATCGTGCAGTCTGAAAGAGCCAGCCGCTTTGAGTGTATACTACATTGAATTTCACAGACTTTTGCGTTACCATCTGCACGCGGATTTCATGCAGAATAAAAAGTGATAACGCCACTTTTGCGTTTTCTCTTCAGAATCGATTCCGTGTAAACATTGTGTTGTTGCTAGTGTGGCCATCACAGTCTCATTGACATCAGCTGATTTTTTTTTTTTTTTTCAAACAGGTTTATGTGTCGGAGATTTCACACCCATCTGTGAGGGGTGCGCTGGGTTCATGTCCTCAGATCACAGCTGTCTTTGGAAGTCTTGCACTCTACGCTCTTGGTAAGAGAGCTCATATTTTTCAGGTTGTTTTGGTTGTATAAAAAATACTTTCTCCAACACTTTCAAGAATTTCCTAATACGTCCTTTGAATGATGCTGTTTTATGGTCTCTCTTCAGGCTTGATATTGCCGTGGAGATGGCTGGCTGTGGCTGGGGAGGTCCCTGTGATTATCATGATGATTTTGCTTTGCTTCATGCCAACCTCCCCACGTTACCTCACCATGAAAGGAAACAGAGAAAAAGCAGTTAAATCGCTAAAATGGCTGAGGGGCCCCAATTCTGATTACTTGACTGAGTTCAGTAAGATCGAGCGCAGTATCAACTCTCAGGTAAAGCACACATTACAGTGGATTACATCATATTATCAGGGCAGTTTTGCCATGGTCATGCAAATAGAGTTAATTAGGGAGAATGGGGTCTTTGTTCCATATGTTTAATCACAAACTTCAATAATCAGACAGCTTAATTAGGATTAGTAATTAAAATTTCCTGATACTTACTCACCCCCACGTCTGATAACAAGATGTTCATGTCTTTCTTTCTTCAGTCGAAAAGAAATGAAGATTTTTGTGGAAAATATTCCAGGATTTTTCTCTATATAGTGGACTTCAATGGGGTCCAACAGTTTGAAGGTCCAGATTACTGTTTCAATGCAGCTTCAAAGCCTCTAAACGATCCCAGCCGAGGAATAAGGGTCTCATCTAGCGAAATGATCTGTTATTTAAAAAAAAAAAAAAACACACATTTATGCTCATCTGGCACTAGCTCTGCGATGCGCCACGCATTAAGTAATCACGTTGAAAGGTCATGCCAGTTCCGGTTTCCGGTCCAAATTAGTCTTTGCACATTCGCTTTGTACACACTAGGTCGGTACTTCCGCCTATTCACGTATTCCTAGTATTCCTTATTCTCCTTATTCCTCGTCTGAGATCGTGTAGAGGCTTTGAAGCTGCTTTTAAAAAAAACTGCAATTTGGACCTTCAAACCGTTGGACCCCATTGAAGTCCACTAGAGAAAAAAAATCCTGGAATGTTTTCCTTTAAAAACCTTAATTTCTTTTCAACTGAAGATAGAAACACATGAACATCTTGGATGACGTGGGGGTGAGTAAATTATCAGTTTATTCTGAAATGAACTACTCCTTTAAGGTAAAAAAGCTGCTTAAATTTTTGATGCATGTGAATTTAAGCCAAAACAAATTGTACGATTGAATTGAAAGATTTAATGTTCTTTGAAATTGGGGCTGACAATTATTGTTTGATTTAAAATGTATTCTTCTAAAAAAAAAAAATCATTATAGAAAAATAAAATTTTAAATGAAATGCATCTTTTCACCAACAGGGGGCACAATGGAGTGATCTTAAAACCCCTTTATACTATAAACCAATCCTAATCTCAGTCTTCATGAGATTTCTGCAGCAGTTGACTGGTATAACCCCAATTCTGGTATATTTGGAGCCCATCTTCCACATGACGGCTATATCACTGGTATGTCACAGAAAGTATATTTACATATTTATTGCCATGAAAAAGAAACTGAAAGCACATTTACACACAAAAAAAAGTTTTAAAAAAAGTTGTCATTCAGGAACCGAAATATGATGCAGCATTAGTGGGAGCTGTAAGATTGATCTCTGTCGCTATTGCAGCCAGTTTGATGGACAAAGCAGGTCGAAAAGCTTTGCTCTTCACTTCAGGTTTGTGTAGAATAAAACAAAGTAGCCTACTTGGTCAATTTAATTAATTGGAAATAGATAAATGAATAAAATATCTTATTTTCTTCCTTTAGGATTTTTGATGTTTATAGCCATGCTTTCAATGACCATGTACACCCACAAAACACCATGCAGCCCAGGCAATCTTACCTTAACAGAGGGGTTGAAGAGCCCCCATGGAGGCTCAATGGGCCCAGCCTTCGATCCAATTACTCTAATTCCTCTCATTAGCACTATGGTCATCATTTTTGGTGAGTTTCAGGTTGTTTGTTCATGTTTGCTTTTACTTACTGTAGAATCTTTTTGTTTAAACTTGATTATTATGACACTTTAATTGTTATTGCTTAACATTATTATTTCGAAATGGCTTAAAAGGGACTTTACAGGGAGGCCATTTTGACTGGATTACGTACTTTACAGAATTATAAATTCTTACTTATAAAGCCAATTCACAGTTAACTGACAGGTGCCAACCAACAGCAACAGACACACTTCATCGGATCAGTGTTGATCACCATGTGGATTTGGGCACCGTTTGTTTTTGCCGATTGATCGTTCATTTGTCAGTTCATGAAATGTCTGAGAAGTGAGTGACGCACTGTAATCTGGTGGTTTGTCTGCACTATGCTGTGTGAATTTGCCCGTAGAATTAGTTCTAGTTCTATTTTCTCATGTAGAATAACATGCAATATAACATTACTGATTACTTTGCCATGCAGGTTATGCCATGGGTTGGGGGCCAATCACATGGCTGCTAATGTCAGAGATCTTACCCTTGGGTGCACGTGGTATAGCATCTGGTTTGTGTGTTGGTGTTAGCTGGATCACGGCCTTTGTTCTGACGCAAATCTTCATGCATGTGGTGGTGAGCTAAATCTATTTATCTATTTATACACGCATAGAAACAGGAAATGAAAATATATATATATTTTTTATGATCTGAACTTGGCAACATCCTTATTCAAGGTCATTCAAAAGATAATACAGGCTGATCTTATTTACTCATATACATACTCATACTCAACATGGTGTTTCTTATCTAATTTTAAATGGTTAACAGTCTAATTGTAAAAGGCAAACTTTTCACATCTTTTCATGTAGGAAGCCTATGGACTTTTTGCACCTTTCCTGTTCTTCTGTGTCGTCTCGGTAGTAAATATAATTTTCACTGCTAAATGTGTGCCAGAAACTAAAGGCCGAACTCTGGAGGAAATTGAGAACTATTTCAAGACTGGCCGAAGCTTCACCATTCATGATCCTTAAAATAACCAAATGCTATTATTATAATAAATAATGGTCTTACAGCACACACACACACACTTGTTGTAAGACAGTTCAATATGGTTGTAACTATGTTTATCTTTCTGAATGATCCATGATGTAAATGCATTAATTTCTCTTCAAAAGTGCGTATATAGTGTAAATGTATATTACGATAAAGATTAAATCTCTACCATCCTCTCAGTTTCTATGGTAAGATCATGTGACTGGACGCTGCATTTCCCTTTCACTGTTCTGCATTTGTTTACGTCAGTGTGACAAACCTATTGCAATGTGTGTTTGTCCAGGAATAAAAGTACAGTGATACAGAGAAGTTCAGAAATCATGATATCGGGCGTGGACCACAGACTTGAGCAAGACTTAAATATATACTTATGCATCATTTTATGCATATTCTGTAAATTCCACTGGTCTTGGTCATGTGCTGATATATGGATATATCAATTTTTCTTGTTAATATTATTTACTGAAGTTAATGCTATAGCTATGCACAAAAATGATTATTTGTTTTCTTATTGATTGCTTTTATTTGTTCGTTATTTATTGTTTGTCCATTCTTTCCCAATTAAATAGATCAGTTTTTTTTAGGAAGTTACTTCTCATTGACAGATTTAATTTGATTGCTGATAGGGTGCTTCCTGTCAATCAACACTGACTGTGTTAGCACCACATACTACATCTGTGAAGGCTAAAAATCGGTTAAAACGCCTACAGGTGGTCAGCAGTGCATTATCTGATAGGCTTATATACGTCACTCTTGGTTCTCAATCTCTGAAACTGCCCTCCTACACCAATGAATGACAGATTTAGCCACAACCAATATAATAATATCATATTGTTACATTTTAAAGTCAAATTTTATAAAAAAAAAAAAAAAATAAGAAGAATGTTAACTGTTAAAAATAATAATAATTAAGATAATTTGTTCTGCAGTGTCAGCTAGACTAATTCTCTGGCTCTTATCCAAGAGGTAGGTTGCTTAACATGTAAAAAAAAAAAAAAAATTAAAGAAAATAAATCATGTGAGGAATGTTTTGCTTTAAGCTGCTTTACTAGTGAGTGAAGGGTTGCCAAAAAATCTGATGCATAAGGGTGTTTAACTTTACACAATCAGGGAGGGCCAAAACTGTCATAGCCTAATTATGTCTAAACATAGCCATATAGTTCATTGTATAATTTATTTATGTGTGGATTTGATTTATTTTGCTTTAATTCTCTATATTTTCTGAGGAAACATTGTAAATAATTTTGAAACGTTGGCTATATCTTTATGGTTTAACAGTCTAATACAAGGCTATGTTTTAAAATTTCATGAAATACATTCTTCCTTTTCCTTATCTGCTGAGGACCTGAATCATGTCCTGAATGCACCCCGCGGCCAGTAGGTTTTTATCCCCGTAGATTTTTACGTAACACCCCTAGTGTCTGCAGCCAGAAGAGCATGAAGTCGCCATCAGCTGCACCGTGTTACTTAACAGAACTGAGGAACCCCTCCAGTGAGTTTCATAATTAGGTTTTGTAAGGGCATGCTGACGTAAGGGCATGTGAGGGCTTTGCCAGTGGTCTACAAATGCCGTTCCTCGTCGCACTGAAAACATTGTTTAACCCCTCAACTCGGACTGTGAATCAAACATGAAAAATACCAGGGAGAAAGTAATTGGAAGTCAAGTTATTTCAGCCGAACTTGTGGTAGGACTGCTACTCAGCATCGCGTATCGGATGTGTTCCAGTTTGGCTTTTCCCTCAGAGGTGGGTCTTTAATTTAGGCTACTTGTTATGTGAGTGAAACCATGTAGCCTAATTATATACAGTAATGTGTTTGTAAATGTTAATAAGTGAAAGCAAACTAATCGTTTTGTATGAAAATGCCTGCAAAATGGCAAACGTTCTGTTTTCTTTAAAATAGAAAATAAATTAGTTTTGAAACTGAAAAAAATGAATGCTGAAAGTCATAAAGGCAAGTTGTTCACTCAAAACAATTTGAATGAAACAGAACGCACCAGACGCGTCATTACGTGACACGCGCGTTGTAAAAACGCAACGCTTCTCTAAACACAAGAAAAGTTTCTGTGTAGCCGACGCCGCTTGGAAGTTACAGATTTTTTTTGTTCTATTGTAATTCAATTTAGTAACTTATTGTGCATATTTGCTGAAATGATTGTTGCTATGGTAATATTTTTGTAAAGCGTTACGCTTGTGCGTTGCAGGAAAGCGTCAGTGACGGAAGCGCGCAGTTTGAAGTAACGCGCTCACTCGTGTGTGTGTGGGTTGCCAGTAATGTTAAGTTCATTTTCTTTAAAAGCAACAACCATCCACTTTCTCTCTCTGCTCATTCCATATCAAGGCTTGTGGTAAGTGCAATTCACAAGCTCAATATACATTAAGAAATATATTGTTTGTCAGCCTAATCTAAAAATAGGCTTGGCCTACCTAATGACTTTACACCAACATTTAGCCTATTTTAAGGGTTAGGGGAGGATCTCCCTTTAAAATTGTAAACTGTGTGTTACTTAATGCAGTCAGGTTAATTCTGTCATATAGGCCTAATATTTTTTTTAACTGACATTTTTTACAGTGTATTTCTGTAGTATATTGCCAGGTGTGTTATGTTTATAATTAAGTCAGACAAATAATGTATTCTTCATACATTAGCCTTCAAAAGTTTCGGGTCAGTAGCGTAAGATTTTATTTTTATAAATTAGGCCTAATAGGCTACTCAGTTGCAATACTTTTATTCATCAACGATGCATTATATTAATAAAAAGTGATTTGCAAGAGCAGTTTAAAACTATTTATATTTCAGATAAATTATTTTGAACTTTCTATCCATCAAAGAATACTGAAAACATTTTCAACATTGGTAATAATAATAACAAATGTCCTTGAGCACCAAATCAGCATGAGAATGATTTCTGAAGAATCACGTGACACTGAAGTAATGATGCTGAAAATATAATAAAATAGAAAACAGTTTTCTTACATTGTAAAATTTCAAATATAACTTTTTTTCTGATTAAGCAAATGCAACCCAAACTTTTGAACTAGTGTCTGTGACTGTAGTATTTAAATGGCGCATCAGTTTAGTATTCATTGTGACATTTAATGCATTTTCAAAAAATGAATTAAATACAATTTTTAAATGTTTTTTTATACAGGCTTTCCTTTCATTGTTAGGAGTCTGCAGAGAGGGATGCATTCAAGGAGGAGATCTTAAACATGTATGTTAAATGACAACCTAATGTGAGCATTCAATTATAACAAGTCACTTTGGTATGGTATGATCTGAAGACGAATGTAAAATGCAGTGCTCTTGACTTTCTGTTCTCTTATACTCTCCAGCTTCCAGTGGTGGATATGGCGGTGTTCTTGTTCTTTCTTCTAAGCAGTTTGATTCTTTTGATCTTAGATCACAATCAGCTGAAAGGCTGTTTGAAACGATCTGAACGGCTCAGTAATCCCCAGAGCTTTTTCCTTCAAATGGATTTTTTTGCCAACTTCATTTTTGGCCTCATGTGGTTGGTTTTTCCAGGATGGCTACTTGGGTCACAGGTAAAAACCTTGGACTATGTTTGATGGAAGTCAAGTCACCTTTATTTATATAGCGTGTTATATACAGATTGTTTCAAACCAGCTTTACAGTGATGAACAGGAACATAATGATTTTGGAATGCAAAACAGAGTTTAATGCTGACATAAAGCAGCTCTAAAACGAAAACAGTGACAGTGTTTAGCTGAGGTCAGTTCAGTATTGATTCAGTTGCGTTCAATAACTGTGTAAAGTTCATCAAATATGATATGAGAAATCTGTAAAGAAGCTCTGGAGAAAACAGTGATGTCATCAAGTATAGCACAAAGTTATAAGCTCAATTTCATCTAGTATCCATAGATATTAATCAATTGTGTATCAATCCATTGTAGATTAGTGGATCTGAGGATAATCTTCATCTCACACGTGCATTTGGAGCCATGATGGTTGGAGACAGCTTTGTTTCTTTTAACACTCAGAAACAAATGGCAACCAATGAAGTATCAGTCTTCAGCTGCCGAGCCGTGGTAAGTCATATTGTCAGAACATATTGCAGACTTTGCAATTTGTTCTGACAACATATTTGTTCCTAGATGATTTCACACGATTAAGCAAATTGTAGCAGCAACTGCAAAAAAGTGAAATGTCTGTACTTTGTTTAAAACTTAAAATGACCTGTGTTGGTGTAATTTAATGCAGTCAGGTTAATTCTGTCATATATATATATATTAACATTAAGTACATTTTTACAGTGTAGTATATATTGCCAGGTGTGTTTTGTTAAAAATAAAATCAAAGATGCACTATAACACAGAAATTTATACTTTTATTAATCAAGGATGCATTAAATTGATCAAAAGTGATGGTCAGGATAGTTATAATGTTACAAAAATAAATCTATTTCAAATAAATGCCCTTCTTTTGAACTTACCATTCATCAGAGAAGGCTAAAAACGTATTATGTTTTCCACAAAAGAAAAAAAAAATTAAGCATATAAAAAAGTTGACCGAGTGAATGGAGGCGGGGCTAATTTAAATATTAACGAATTTTCCGCGTATACTAAATGAGTTAAAGGCGTTGAGTTTCATTCAAGCTACTAGATTTTTTTTCACAGGAAAAAAACAATTAAATATATAATTTGGTGATCAAAAATGATTGACTACAGGGAGACTTCAATAATAAACACTGCAACATTCTGTAGAACTCAACAATTAAGAAATGCCAATTTTCATTAAGCATGTATGAATCTGTATCCATTTAGGGGACTTTGGCAGTTGTCGCCTTCTTGATCCACACCCAGCTCACCACATCGGCATGGAAAACCCCACATCTTTGTTTGTGCCTAGTAGGGGTCAGTCTCTGGGCTGTTAACTCCATCCTTGGCTACCTGAGCTCCAAAGATACGAGGACAGAGTCAGTGAATGATATATATTGGCATGCAGTACAAAAAAATGACGGAAGACTTTATGTACGATAGATTTTGTCTGCAGACATCATTCGGTGCATTTTGATGATCTTTATGACAAACTGTTTATACTGTAAATATAGTGTTATTGTGTTTATAAATAATAAATAGGTGTATTTCTTTGTAAATAATTGTTCTTTTTAATTTATACTTATGACTATTGTAATGAAATTGAAAATATTATTTTCATCATACGTACATATGCAAGTAAAGATAAACTTGTCATGTTGTGAGTGCAGATGATGAGTAGAGCACTTCATAAATAGTAAAAACATTTAGTCAGCTGTCTGTGACCTGCCTTTCACACTCTCAGGCGTCGAGTCATTCTCCTTCAATATTCACTGAACCATTTGTTTTGCGACTTAGGATCCAACAACCGAGGTTTCCAGGTTGGCCTTAATTAAACTTTGTTCTTCCAGCAAAGGCCATGATGTAGTTTAACTTAACAAGAGCCTGCAAAGCCTAAATAAACAGCTTTACCATGTAGCAGAGACCTACTAACACCTCCATAAACCTGTGACCAGAGCTTTGCACATGAAATCTGATTCATCAGCTCAGTTAATGCATAGTGTGTGTTTTAAATATGTCCACTTGATGGCGCTCCATACACAGAGATTACGGTCTCTGGAGCTCCTACATCAAATAATCGACAGTGCTAGTAAATTTACCATGAGCTGTTGGTATTAAAATGCCATTTTAAATGACATTTAGATAATCAGAACTGAAACTACTGTTGAATATGGCACAATTATCCGAATAAGCTCTTTATCTTGTAAAATTAAGTAGGAAGATGACTGGCGTGGTTCAAGATGGCTGTTTCTTTCAGTTCCTCTTTTTCCTCGTGCACATAAGGGGTTAAAATGAAAATTCGGTCATCATTTTGATCCCGTTTTTTCCTTCTTTTGAGGAACACAATAGGAAGAAATTCTAAAGAATTGTAAAGGTTGCTCTTTTCCAAGCAATTACAATGAATGACAACTGAAGGTTTCAATCTTCAAAGTGCACAAAAGCAATGTAAAAGTATCATAAAAGTAGGCCTAGTTCATTTGACTCGTGCACTATATTCCAAGTTTTATAAAGCCTTATAATAGTTTGTGTGAAAACAGGCCAAAATTGGTCAAAAACGATATGCACAATATTCAAATTTACTGCATAACATGGTAAAGATAATGATTCCCATATTTAAATATATTAACATATATTTTAAATATATCCTTACATAATTAAATACTATTTTGATACTTTTTTTTTTTTTTTACAAAAACAAGCTCCTTTAAGATTAATTGCATTAACGAGCCCAAAAATCACATCTTCACCAAATCACATGGGTTCCCACAAATCTATCTTTATGCCACAGCTCCAAATTCCTGCCTGATTTGTATTTAACCATTTATAGGTTTGGTAGGCAATTCTGGAGAGGCTAGCAATAGCAAGCTAGCTTTGAAAGCATGAGGTCCCACCTTCCCTTCCGAGTGCTTCAAGACACATGAACGCCACTGATCTATTTCGTAAAAGAGGACATTTCCCCCTCAGTTTTTAAAGGTACACTCAGACTCCAGTGCATGAACTGTCCAATGTTCCACACATAATTTTTTTAGTTAAATAAATGCATCATCCGGGTACTTAAAGTGCACTATGTCCTATATAGATTTGGTGTCCAGCCTTTTAAAATCCTTTTTTTTTTTTGCTACATTTTTAGCCCTCTAGCGGTTAAAAAACAAAACTGCATGAAAAATTGTCTCTGTTGTGCTTCTGTAATGAACTTAAGCCAGTAAGAGCTGTGTGCATAAACCTCACTCCCCTGATCTCAAGAGGTGCATTAGTGATTGAAGCTGGAGGCTGTGGTCTTTAGCATCTTGATTAGCGCACCCACCTTCATTGAACAGATAAATTGCCTTATGTAGCTCTCTGACAGATTTCATTGTAAAGTATTATCTATTGTGAAGGGTCATTTTATTATAGTTCCAGCATTATATGCTGTGCTGGAATATATTTTTAAAGAAGTATCATGTCTAGAGTTATGTCTTCAGCTAGTTAACTTGCTTATCATCTGGTTAACTCTTTTAAGCCTATAGTGAATGTTTTATGAGCAGTGTAACCATAAATCAGGTTAAGATGAAAATATTTTGGAAAGAAGATTAATGACGAATTGGCTTATTTAAATTTACATTGTTTCTTTTAAGTAGACTCTGCAGCATCTCCATTTGAAATGACACATGGTTTATTTTGATGTTTGTCCATAATTCAAAATACTGTAATTTGGTGATAGGAACAGGGACTCAACCACAAGCTGTCTGTTTGGACAGTGTGGCCCTGGACCCAGTCAGCACAGCCATAGCTAAACGTCACCATGAAAACAACAAAATGACTTTGGCTAGAGAGTCAAATCTCTATCAGATTAAAGGCTTCACTGTAACTGCTGAGCTCAGAAAATGATTCATAAAGTCCTGCCAAAGGTGACGTGAAGAAGTAGTTGAGGATTGGAACAGAAGGCCTACTTCAGTGTGTGTTTATTTCAAAGTGCTTTGGATAGACTTTTTGGAATGTTGTTAAAATGAATTCATCCACGACCTTCTGCATGTTTTTAGGTGACTCTTTGAAAACACTCTTTTCATATCAAGTTTATACTTATTTTATTACTGTTCCTTGACAAATTTAACAGTTTTAAATGAAAATAAAAAAAACTTTTTATTTACAAGGCAGATGTTGATATATAGGCTATTTTGAATTCTATAAAGAATGTAGTTGCTTGTAAAACTTCTACGGTGTATAGCCTAACCTTACATAAAACGTTTTAGCGCGTTTCCTCTTGTAGTTCTACAGTGTATTATTCTTTTGCTTGTAATTGTTTTGTTTCCATAAAACCTTTACAAAAAGGTTAAATTTTTAAAGAAAAGAAAAGGAAAAAAAAACAAAACAAAAAAAAAAAAACAGGTTACTTCAGTGTGTTGTTTATTTTGATCAACAGAGGGCGCTGCTCAATAAACCAGCTTTACCGTGGTATCATTCGACTTCCGCTACTAATTTGCGCAATTTTGGCTCTGTCAGTTTAACAGGAACTAAACGACACAAGGATAACATAATTTTATAAGGTAAGACATCGTTATCAGCTTCCCTAACCTTATACTGAAATGATTTTCAATGGTATTCTCCGCTTTTCGTTGTTTTACGTGATGACAGAGAAAGCGCGTTGGAACTGAATGTTCTCACAGGACGTTTCTTGCTTTTGGCCGTTTGCTTCTAGAGGCCTTTTGTTTTTGGGGTCTTTCGCCATGACAACGCGTTAAATGTGTTTGGTAGGCTACCTCCCTTTGCGCTCCATTTAATAAGTGTTTTTGAATTAAAAACGCGTCCTGATCGTGAGCTTTCAGTTATAAATGAAAGGTAATGTGCTCTGCATAGAAATTATACTCAATACTGATAACAATTTTATTAAAACTTTTTAATATTAACCAAATTTAAGTATTCTTATCAGATAAAATTAAATGAAAATACATTCAGATGTTTATGTGCGTAATGTTTTGTTAATATAATGCAATTTTGCCTGGTTATGCATTATTTTATTGTGTCACAGGCACAGCCTATGCAACATTATGTCATATGTTGAACATAATTATGAATGATGTATATTTTTGGCAGGTAAAGGTTCATAGTCATGTTATTTAAAAAAAAAAAACCTAGTGTTTACTAGAAAATGTTGTGTTTTTTCTAATTAAGTTTCAAGACTGAGTGTTTTGCCACACGTTTGAATTCAGTGATTACAATTTTGTTTATATTCACCTAAAGCAGTTTTGCCCAAATAGTTTTTCAAGATGTTATTTCTGTTTCACTGCTGGTCATTTTCTGACTCGGGAAGTTGGAAAACCATTCAAAATTGGCCCATCATTTTTCAGCGAATTGCTCTTTAGAGTGGCAACCTTTGTTGTTTTCTACGCCCTCTGAAAAATGAATAAAAATCAAGCATCAATGTGCCAACAAAGTGGTCACCCACAACAAGGTCGATTTTTGTGACAGATCTTTGGTGATTTGCACTCTGCCCATCTATTCAAGTCCTTTCAATCTGATGAGTTAGTGTGCACCGTTCTATCACAACTGTGGATGTCCAGTGACGCATGAATCCGATTCAGCAGGTTTCTAGTAAGATTGCTGCTGGTAAAGGCCTTCAATTGACCCATGGCTAAGCCACGCCCCCTCCACTCTCTCGGACAAATAGCCGACATTCGGGGACAGGCGCAATGGCAGCTGTCACAGTAGGAGACATTTCACAGGAGGCAATTGGTGATTTTTGGAGACAGAAAGATTATATATCATCTCGAACTAAGTGACCTAAAGGGCCTTAACTATGCATTGGAGGGTTATATCAATAATTTTATTGTTGAGAAGGTCGATGAAAAGCTTAAGCTCCAGGCATAAATGTACAGGTCGCGGTGTAAACGTGATAAACCGCATATTTACATCATTCAGCACAACATTGTTAACATTTGTTATCTCGGTTATTTACAGAGGCGTTAACGTTTTCTAATGTTAGCCTTACGTTACGTTAGAGATTTTAAAGATAACGTTCAATACGCTGTTGACTTAACTTAGAACAGATGTAGACGTCCTTGTTTAATTTATCCACGTTTAGTTGGTGGTGTGGTCTACCACATAACTTAATCACAAAACTTAATCCAGAGCAGATAATTATCTCGGTTGAGGAACGGGTAAAAAAAAATACACACCGTCTCCCAGCCTCTCGGAAACCTAGTGTCGGAGTTGCATGTACCCCTATGCACACCGTTTGACCATTTTAAACTTACAATGACAAGGACAAATGAATGAAAACTGACTAACTGCATTGCATTTCAATAGACTTGGATGCAGAGAATGTGAGTGTATTTGGTTAGATTGGCATGGCTTAGCCATAGGTCAATTAGAATAGCACAGTTGCCCTATTATTTGACCTTGTGGCAGTACAAAAATCGGAAGTGGGAAATATTTTTCAGTAGACTATTCATTCTCAATCATGATCGACTTTGTATTTCCAAAATGGCAGATTGTTCATTTAATATGCATATAGTGTATCCTAAGGCCTGTCATGATTAATAATTCATTGTATGATCATGGTTTTTCTATCTAATAGCAATTATTTGAGATAACAGCAATAATTGAGCAATTTCATTTTCAATTAAATTTTGCCTTCCAAATAAAAGAAATTGAAGCGCTTGAAAGCATCTAATGTGCAATATGTCTCCTTGTCTGGTGTGGTATGGAGAAGCAAGGGAGTCATAAGCTGGTAGTAAAGAAAAAAAATGTGAGAAAGTAGCCTACACTCTTAGAACAAATGGTTCTATTTAGAACCAAAAATGGTTCCATCCCCCGCTTCATATATGGAACTCCAAAATGGTTCTAAATAGAACCATTTTTTTGGTAAAAGGTTCTATTGGCCAAGTATGGAACCCCAGGGTTCTATATAGAGCCCAGAGGAACCCTTTTTTAAAAAGTATATAGAACCTTTTAGGGGTCCTAAATACGTAGCAGCACTGATAGAACCTTTTAAGTTCACATCCATAAATATGACATCATGCAGGTCACATCCATAGATATGACATCATGCAGCGCACTTCAGATCACAGCACATTCTAAAGTACAAATTTAATAATAAAAAAGACTTAGGCTACCTGTATTAAACATCAGTTTCTGTTTTTACGTATCTTGTTCGTCTCTGTGCCAGACCCCTTCTGTTTTTGGCTCCACATCAAATAAACTTCCTTTAAAGGGTTTATTGACTGATCATTCTCACTAAGGAACACATTTCCTGTAAAGCTGCTTCTCGCAGGAGTACATCCATGTCCTTCTTTGCAAGCAATAGCCCACAAACAACAACAACAACAAACAGTGAATGGGTGATGTTTTTTTTTTACTAGAGATAAGAAATGAGTTGTCTTTTTTTGGTCTGTGAAAGAAAACTCCCCTGAGTCAAGATGTGCTTTTCTTGATAACATCCGTTATAGTGTTCGCCTCGCGTATCTCCAGATGTCTAACAATACAGTTTAAATTGTGATCAAATCACAATTCAAAACGTCATGAAACATGAGCACAACAACTCTCTACACTGTACAGAAATAATTAGGCTATTAGATTAAAGTTGCATTGTGTAATGTTTTGGAGGATCTGTTGACAGAAATGTCAAACCATGTTTACAGTGGTGTATAAAGACCTTACTTAATGAACCGTTATGTACCTTATAATGAGCCATTTCTATCTACACACACCGCGGGTCCCCTAACATTGAAATGCGCCACCATGTTTCTACGGTAGCCCTAAACGGACAAGCGCGTTTCGTCACTATGTTGTTCTTCATGCAATGAAGCTAGCTAAAGTCAGCGAATAAAACACTTACACAATGATGAACAAGTAACAATAATATTCGCAGTAACATATCATTTTAATAAATAATTAAATAAACATAATTTCTTAATTTACCTAAGAAACCGCATTGACTTGCTTATTGCTACTCTGCTGTCTCAGACGACGACATTTTTTCCTGTCGGCTACCGTAACTTCCGTTGCTTGCGATTCGCAACCTCACCACTAAATGCCGCTAAAAATCACACACCTTTAAGTAAATAATGCTGTAGCAAACAATAATAAAATGTACATTGCATGCAAACTGGGTTAATGTTTTTTTATAATGGTTTTGTGATTCAGTCCCATTTGGCTTCTTTCCCAGCATGCACTGAGGCATGGAGAATTATGGTTGCTATGTTTAACTCTTTGCCAGTTTTGTTTTCAATTTGTTGTCATGTTTACACTAAATGAATTGTAGGGATCCACATATATCGGCCACCATATCGGTATCGGCCGATGTTCAAAACTTTTGCTGATAATTTACTCACCCCCATGTCATCCAAGATATCCATGTCTTTCTTTCTTCAGTCAAAAAGAAATTAAGGTTTTTGATGAAAACATTCCAGGATTTTTCTTCATTTAATGGACTTCAATGGGAACCAAACGGTTCAAGGTCCAAAAGACAGTTTCAGTCCAAACTGCAAACTGTTCAAAGGGCTTTAAATGATTCCAGACGATGAATAAGGGTCTTATCAAGCGAAACGATCGCTCATTTAAAAAAATAAATAACAAAGTTTAAGTTTTATAAGCTCAAATGGTCGCCTTGCTCTGTTCTGTGATACGCGTTTGTGACTCTCCTGTTCGAACTCTTTTATCAATATGAACAAATCTTTCAACGAATGAAAAGAACAAATTGACTCGGGAAAAGATTTGTTCATTTTGATGAACGAGTTCGAATGAGAGTCATGAACGCGTATCACGGAACAGAGTAAGGCGAGCATTTGAGCTTATAAAACTGTTAACGGTTGGAGACTTTAGTGACGGCATCTTATTCTTCGCAGTTTAAGATCAGTGAAAACATTTACTATTAATAGTTCGTAAATCGTAACAATTTGTTTAATTCGTTAAACCTACAGGCAGACAGTCGCTTTTATACTTCTAAGTTCTATGCAAACATCTGTTTACATTCTTACATAAATAGTTGCATTTAATTTAATATGAATTATGAAGATTTTACAAAATTCGCACTGCTCAAACTTTATATAATAATAAAATGTATTTACGTCGTGTATACAAACAGACAGGGTCTTTCAATAATGTTTTTTTTTTTTATGAGAAACGAATCAAGCAGCTTATTTTTAAATGCCAATTGCGAATGCAACCCAACCGATAGCCACAATCACTGCCTGTGTCCAAAACAATGCCTACAGATTAGCCTTTAATAGTCATTAGGCTTTGTTGGCACTTGTGTGTTATGGGATTGCATGCGACTGCCGAGAGTTTTCCCAGTGTCAGCAGAAGGGGGGGCAGTTTTTTGTAAGCAGAACAATAGTAAACAGATTATATGGCAGACAAACAATGGAAAGTGTTCCTAACTGATCACCTCATTACAGCGGAATAACAAGGCCAGCTACGATTAGCAGCAGGGGAATAAGAGCTTGATTGAAGTGGTATTACAGAGGTCCCTTAAACCGTACTGCTTATTAGCTGCAGGTTGAACCATTCCTGTGTGGGTTTTAAATGGAGTCGGGCTCCTCCTGTA